GTATGATGCTGCATCTGGTGTGTGTGAGTCTGGTGTATGGTGGTAGTTCTTAGTATGATGCTGCATCTGGTGTGTGAGTCTGGTGGTGTTCTAGTATGATGCTGCATCTGGTGTGTGAGTCTGGTGTATGGTGGTGTTCTAGTATGATGCAGCATCTGGTGTGTGAGTCTGGTGTATGGTGGTGTTCTAGTACGATGCTGCATCTGGTGTGTGAGTCTGGTGGTGTTCTAGTATGATGCTGCATCTGGTGTGTGAGTCTGGTGTATGGTGGTGTTCTAGTATGATGCTGCATCTGGTGTGTGAGTCTGGTGGTGTTCTAGTATGATGCTGCATCTGGTGTGTGAGTCTGGTGTATGGTGGTGTTCTAGTACGATGCTGCATCTGGTGTGTGAGTCTGGTGTATGGTGGTGTTCTAGTACGATGCTGCATCTGGTGTGTGAGTCTGGTGTATGGTGGTGTTCTAGTACGATGCTGCATCTGGTGAATCTTCTAGTGTGGGCAGTATTGTCAAGTACTGTACAACATGTGGAGTATAATATATGTGTATTTTACAGTATGTGGACTGTGTAAATATGTGTATTTTCTAGTATGTGGTCTGTGTAAATATGTGTATTTTCCAGTATGTGGACTGTGTAAATATGTGATTTTGCAGTATGTGGACCGTGTAAATATGTGATTTTCCAGTATGTGGACCGTGCAAATATGTGATTTTCCAGTATGTGGACCGTGTAAATATGTGATTTTCCAGTATGTGGACCGTGTAAATATGTGATTTTCCAGTATGTGGACTGTGTAACTGTGATTTTCCAGTATGTGGACTGTGTAAATTTGTGATTTTGCAGTATGTGACCGTGTAAATATGTGATTTTCCAGTATGTGGACTGTGTAAATATGTGTATTTTCCAGTATGTGGACTGTGTAAATATGTGTATTTTCTAGTATGTGGTCTGTGTAAATATGTGTATTTTCCAGTATGTGGACTGAGTAAATATGTGATTTTGCAGTATGTGACCGTGTAAATATGTGATTTTCCAGTATGTGGACCGTGCAAATATGTGATTTTCCCAGTATGTGGACCGTGTAAATATGTGATTTTCCAGTATGTGGACCGTGTAAATATGTGATTTTCCAGTATGTGGACTGTGTAAATTTGTGATTTTGCAGTATGTGGACCGTGTAAATATGTGATTTTCCAGTATGTGACCGTGCAAATATGTGATTTTCCAGTATGTGGACCGTGTAACTGTGATTTTCCAGTATGTGGACTGTGTAAATTTGTGATTTTGCAGTATGTGGACCGTGTAAATATGTGATTTTCCAGTATGTGGACCGTGCAAATATGTGATTTTCCAGTATGTGGACCGTGTAAATATGTGATTTTCCAGTATGTGGACCGTGTAAATATGTGATTTTCCATTATGTGGACTGTGTAAATATGTGATTTTGCAGTATGTGGACTGTGTAAAAATGTGATTTTCCAGTATGTGGACCGTGTAAATATGTGATTTTGCAGTATGTGGACTGTGTAAAAATGTGATTTTCCAGTATGTGGACCGTGTAAATATGTGATTTTCCAGTATGTGGACCGTGTAAATATGTGATTTTGCAGTATGTGGACTGTGTAAATATGTGATTTTGCAGTATGTGGACCGTGTAAATATGTGATTTTCCAGTATGTTGACCGTGTAATTATGTGATTTTCCAGCATGTGGACCGTGTAAATATGTGATTTTCCAGTATGTGTACCGTGTAAATATGTGATTTTGCAGTATGTGGACTGTGTAAATATGTGATTTTGCAGTATGTTGACCGTGTAATTATGTGATTTTCCAGTATGTTGACCGTGTAATTATGTGATTTTCCAGTATGTGGACCGTGTAACTATGTGATTTTCCAGTATGTGGACCGTGTAACTATGTGATTTTCCAGTATGTTGACCGTGTAACTATGTGATTTTCCAGTATGTTGACCGTGTAACTATGTGATTTTCCAGTATGTGGACTGTGTATACATGTATCAACCTTATATCACTAATGTACCAAATAGGTATATGAGGAAATGTTGATAAATGTAAAATATTAATGACTGCTGAAAGAGATACCATTTAGAGAAGAGAGAATGTCTTTGAAGACACTGAGTGAGTATAAAATATTTAAATGTCCTGTACAATATGGATTTAAAACTGTATGGAAAATATTAGTATTTAAGTAATGAATAATATATTGATATAATTACAAAATAATAATAACTTTTTCAGTCTATAATGAAGTTTAAAAAATAAAGAAGTAACTGAGTGAAAATAAATATATATGTGAGATATACTTGCATGGTTTTATATATATATATATATATATATATATATATATATATATATATATATATACACTGTACATGAGACTTAATTTCAGTTTAAAGAATGAAACAATAAATTGGCTCATTTGTCTCTGCTCTGCCAGACTTCCTGCAGCTGACAGCTGCTAGTCAGTACATTGTATAAACTGTTATCAACAAACCCCAGGAAATATTCTTTCAATACAAGTGAAACAGCAGAGATCCAAACTTCCTGTAACATGACCAATTAACTATACAAATCAGTAATAATGAATCTTATTATAGGTATTATGAAATTTTTTTTACTTTTACAATTACAGGGTACTATGTGAACCTCAAGTACTGTATCAGTAACTGTTGATATACACAGCACTGTACACAGGCGTCATAGTTCTTGCAATGAGTTATTGAATTATCGTAATGGAAGCAAAATAATGATGTAAATATAACACCAAGGAAGAAATTAAGCCTCATCTGTATATACAATTTGACAGCACTGATCTATGTACAAATGTTACTAAGATTGTTCAGTACTGTAGTTTAAAAGTAGTAAGAGTCCTTGTGCTGAATTACCGTACTGTACTGTACTGGGATACTCCAGCAAGTATGAAACTGTTAAAACTTAAAATGAATGAAAACAAAAGAGGAAAGAATAGGAATATAAAGAACTATATATTATTCTTCATGCAGTGTCTCATCCCTGGCCATTTAAGAAATAGTCTTTAGAGCCAAAATATCCGTGGTGAATCGTGCTCAAGTTTGTGTTATGTGACTGAAGGTGACCGAGCTTATTCTTAAAGGCAATCAGTTCCTGTTCATCTCCTTGTATTTATCCCACCATACACAGTTTAAGAATAGTTTTTGGCTTAGTGTTAGTATAGTTAAATAAAGATGCATTAAGAATCGTTATAACTCTCAAATAGTTCAGTTTGTATCAGTTTCTGGAACGGGAACCTACCTTTAACTCCCTGATTATGACATCAGCCCCTTAGTCAGATATCAACCCGAGTTTGATGTATTAGCTCAGAGTACGATATCAACCCCGAGTATGATGATTTAGCCCCTGAATATGATATCAACCCCGAGTATGATGATTTAGCCCCTGAATATGATATCAACCCCGAATATGATGATTTAGCCCCTGAAGACGTCATCCCCAGAGTATAATGCATTAGTACCCCTAAGTAAAAATATCTTGACCTTTTAAATACAATGACTTAAGTAAAATGACACTGTGGTCGGGGATTAAGTCATCATACCATCGTCGAGGTATTAATGATGCATTCAAAGTTACATGAACAATGACATTAACAATAAAACACTTATTATACTGTACATGAAACAGTTTAAAGTCAATGAAGCACCTCGCTGCACTAATACACTCTATATATATATTACCCTAAGGAAAATCAAATTGCACCACCATCCCAGTGTAGTATCTCCAGTCATCCTCACAGTTTTAGCTAAATTATTAAACAGAACATATTTTACCGTAAGTGAAAATTAACTTTACTGATGACTATATTAAGTTAGTTTTAAGTGCAAGTACAGTTATCTATCTATCTATATATATATATATATATATATATATATATATATATATATATATATATATATATATATATATATATATATATATATATATATATATATATATATATATATAATGAAATTTATCACTCAAATTATGTATTGTTTTGCGTTTTCTCTGTAGTAATACTGTAGGGAAAATGATGTAGGTATTAATAACGATAATTAATGAATACAGAAATATGGACAACTGCTGAATAGACTCCGAAAGGTTGAAACTCAAAAGTATATGAGGTTATTTTTAAGTCAGGTTAGCTTAGCTTAGGTTAGGTTAGGTTAGGTCAGGTCAGGTCAGGTCAGGTCAGGTCAGGTTAGGTCAGGTCAGGTTAGATCAGATCAGGTCATTCTGGTCATTTTAAGTGTTGTCATGGTTTTGTACATTAGTTTTCGAATCAGTCGTTTGAATTCTAACCATTCAGAGTCTGTCCAGCAAGATCACTGCCTGTTATGACCATCGCTATTTGTGTGTCATTCTGGTCTAATATACAATAAACTATTTTTAAAACTTTTTTTTTTTGGGACGACACATAATTTGTTGTACTGCCTTTTGTTTTAAGAGAGAATGAGAAGGTAATAACTGTACTGTACTGTGAGAGGTGGAAATAATGCCTGGACACTGTAGCTATTTTTCAAGTTTCTACCAAGCAATGGTTCACGAGCTAGTACCGTACCAACATAGTTTGTTTTATAAACTAAAAGTTGCATTAATTACTGTATGTTCATTAAGTTAAAAAGTGGTAATAACGTATTTCGATTTTACGGTTAATTATTCAGTTATTTAGTGATCCCATTTGACCTGATTCTTTGTCTTGTTTATTTTGACTTCGTCTTCTTCTTTAAAATTACGTACGGAAGTGTATGCATATTTAATGGGTAGATTACCAAGTGCATAAGGTAAATTAAAATCTTTTATGTAATTAAACTCCAGTGTGGAAGGTTCTGAGTCCGCATTACTGTACATGCTTTAAGTTTAATAACAAAGTGAGATAACCAGATAAACAGGAACTGAATATTGTGATATTTAAGATAAAAGAAGATGTAAGTGAGAGGTTTTAACTCTTGGATTGATTCAGACTTACCAGTCTTGATCTCGGATACCCGAGCCATCTCCATCTCCTGTTCATGCACCACCTCCCAGGCTTTCTCTGCCAACACTCTCTCTGTAGGGATGACGCATGCATATCCAGTCAAACACTAACTCTGGAACAACCTGCAGATCTTCCTCTGTGATGGCCACTCACATACTATCCAGCTAAACTCTAAATACAGTACTAATTGTCACAAGTGCTGCAGCTAACTAACTTTAATTTACTACGTAATGTGCGTGGCGGTCTGCCAGAAGCAATAATTATACTCTGGACGATACTCAACTATTAAGCTGTAATTTTGTTATGTATTTGTTTGACTCAAAATTAAAAGAATGAGACAATAAATTATGTACAGTATATCTGCAAAACTCAAAGTGATGTTAATTTTTTTGTGAAATGTCTGAAAAAAATACTTTAATTAATATGGGAAAACCTACACATGCCTTTAAGTGTCTTATAGAAAGAGTATATTGACCTGTGTCTATTTTATGGAGTAAATTACTGTAAACACAATAATTATGAAAATATTGAGGAATGTCCTATATATAAATGTATGTAGCTTTAGTATACTAATTTCTATCTCTCTCCGTGTCTCAAGCAAAGAGAGATTAGAATTATCTAAATTATTCTACTTACAGCTGTCGTTTATGTAAAACAATCCTGGTGACCACAAGGAATTACTTTACTGAAAGACTAAGACTACATATACACTACAAGCTAAGACGAGGATGCATTCTTTCTTACCGTCCTTTGCGTCACGATAAGCCTCCTCAACCAACACCTGTGCTACCATGACGGAGTGTCCATGCTTCTCCACGATGTTGATAAGAGGTTGCTGGGTCTCTGGTTTCTTCAGCGCTGGGAGCTTGCCAGCCACACAGAATGCTATGATCTCCTCGGTTTCGATTCCTTGGTTTATCATCTGGGAAACCTTGGTCAATTCCTGAGTGGTTGAAGAGAATTTGCCCATCTCTCTTGGGATAACATCCTTGAAGAGAGTTTCTGGTTTGATGTTCTTGGCATGCTTGACCATGCGCAAGAAGGCCTTGAGACCAACAGGATGCTTGGTAGCTTGTTCTTGAGTTTCTTGAGCCAGTACAATAGACACATTCCTTTGGTGGCCAATGTGCTCACAAATCTTAACAAGGGCAGTCTGAATGCTGGGTTGCTGAAGAGCCTTAAACTCACCAGCCCGGAACATTGACCAGATTTCACTTACCCTAACATTATTCTTCAACATGGTATGAACTTTAGCCAATTCATGGATAACTTGCTCGTCCTCAAAGAATTGAGGTGCAACCTCTCGGACAACTTCTTCACCCTTGACAGAGGTTTCGGAAACCTTCACGAAACACTTGACACCAGGAATTTGGTTGGGTGCAAATTCACTTGGTTGAATTTCTGGATAACTCTCTTCAAGAGCAATAGGAGATTTCCAGTTCGTGTACACCTCAGACACACGGCGTTCTTTGGGAGTTTTAAAGACCTTTACTTTCGTCTCCTCAAATTGTGGCTTCCAAACATTCTTCCTGGCTTCTTCAAGTTCCTTTTCCTTCAGGACGTTTCGCTCTACCTTTTCTTGCTTGAGTCTCTGCATAGCCTCCTGGTGGTCTTGCCTCTGTTTCTGTGCTCGTTCTCTTTCTTTTTCCTTCATGTGTTCTGCTGCGTGCTGGATCTGTACAGCTGCGTATCTTTCATCATCGACCCTCATCTTCTCTTCATAAGTCAGTTCTGAGGTAAGGAAATTCAGTGTTATATGATGTTCACTGATACTGAAGAAAGAAACTCAACTAAATTCTAACTCCATTGGAAAGTAATCATAAAGTATATTTATTCTGCCCATTAAGCAGTTATACAAGTTTGTTTATGAAACATCAACCATATAACTATTGACCTACCCGAGTCGGTCGTTAACATTTACTGTACTTCAATAACTCACTTGAAATTATATACAGGATATTGAGCCGCTCTTAACACTAGTAGTGTTAAACTTAGCAAAATGTGTACATCCATAAATCAAGAGAGAAAATTATCCATTTTAAAAATTTGCCTTATAATGTGCATATATTTACACACCCAGAGCTGTGTTCAGTTTACTCACCGATAACCTCCAGTGTGGCCTTGGTGATACTCTCACCAACAGAGTTAACAGCACGACAGTAATACTCTCCCTTCACTTCAGGTTTAACTTGGACAATGGTCAGAATGGCCTTGTCATTGCGAACTCTCATCTAGCGGAAATTAAATCAGTTAAATAAATATAAGGGCAGTGAATACATTATGTATTATCCTAGACACTTGTTACAGTACACAAACTACACAATAACAAACACCTCTTGTCTCATCACACACTACACATAATTAACCGAACACTCTAGCATTCATAACACTATAGTATTATTATGACTCCTTCCTTTCAATTAGTTTACTTTCATTTCATAAATATACTTACCATAAAATACAATACCATCATTATTAAGGTATAAAACATAGTAAACATATTCAGTAAACATCACCTGTACAAAAATAATATTAGTTCTCAAGTACATGATATGAAAAAGAGAATGGATTACAATAATTACAGTATAATACACACACTGAGCTACAGCCAATACAAATATCCTCTGAAGAATCAAAAGGTTGTTATAAAAATCTTAAGAACTAAAAGGTTGAAGTTGGTATAAGAAAATATTATTGGTGCGATTGTGGCGTTGCTTTCAAATTGTGATAAAACTTTCATCTGTGGTTTAAAGTTTAAAGCAGAAAACAGGAAAACAGGAAGGAAAATATAAGACAATTTACCTGATAAGATGCATGTTGACGGATCAGTTTGTTGTTGTGGTACCATGTTATCTCAGGCTTGGGATTACCGATAAATGTTGCAGTGAGTGTTATGGTTTCCATTTCCCGTACTCGTGAGTTGGTAATTTCCTGTATGAATTTGGGTGCAGTATGTTCACCTGTTCGGAGAGAAGTAACATATTATTAATGGTGGTGACGTCCAGGGGGTAGTGGTGTGTGTGTGTGACGTCCGGGGAAGTAGTGGTGTGTGTGAGTGACGTCCAGGGGTAGTGGTGTGTGTGACGTCTGGGAGGTAGTGGTGTGTGTGAGTGACGTCCAGGGGGTAGTGGTGTGTGTGTGACGTCTGGGAGGTAGTGGTGTGTGTGTGAGTGACGTCCAGGGGTAGTGGTGTGTGTGGTGACGTCTTGGAGTGGTGTGTGAGTGACGTCCGGGGTAGTGGTGTGTGTGTGTGACGTCTGGGAGGTAGTGGTGTGTGTGAGTGACGTCCAGGGGTAGTGGTGTGTGTGTGTGTGACGTCTGGGAGATAGTGGTGTGTGAGTGACGTCCAGGGGTAGTGGTGTGTGTGTGACGTCTGGGGAGGTAGTGGTGTGTGGAGTGACGTCCAGGGGTAGTGGTGTGTGTGAGTGACGTCTGGGAGGTAGTGGTGTGTGAGTGACGTCCGGGGGCAGTGGTGTGTGTGAGTGACGTCTGGGAGGTAGTGGTGTGTGTGGTGACGTCCGGGGGGCAGTGGTGTGTGGTGACGTCTGGGAGGTAGTGGTGTGTGTGAGTGACGTCCGGGGGTAGTGGTGTGTGTGTGTGTGTGACGTCTGGGAGGTAGTGGTGTGTGTGAGTGACGTCCAGGGGTAGTGGTGTGTGTGTGTGTGTGACGTCTGGGAGGTAGTGGTGTGTGTGAGTGACGTCCAGGGTAGTGGTGTGTGTGTGTGACGTCTGGGAGGTAGTGGTGTGTGTGGTGACGTCCAGGGGTAGTGGTGTGTGTGAGTGACGTCTGGGAGGTAGTGGTGTGTGTGAGTGACGTCCGGGGGGCAGTGGTGTGTGTGGTGACGTCTGGGAGGTAGTGGTGTGTGTGAGTGACGTCCGGGGGTAGTGGTGTGTGAGTGACGTCTGTAGTGGTGTGTGTGAGTGACGTCCGGGAAGTAGTGGTGTGTGTGTGAGTGACGTCCGGGGGGAGTAGTGGTGTGTGTGTGTGTGAGTGACATCCGGAGGGTAGTGGTGTGTGTGTGAGTGACGTCTGGAGGATAGTGGTGTGTGTGAGTAACGTCCAGGGGGGCAGTGGTGTGTGTGAGTGTGAGTGACGGGAGTGATTGAGTGGTCTGTGGGGGAAGTTTTTGCAGGAAATTGTATGTTGTTGTTCTTGGTTGTGGTCGTATGTACTGTGTTGTTAATGTGATTTAGAAGTAATGTGAAAACGTAACTCAAAGGTGGCTGAGCTGTGAGGCGAACACATCAATCTTCTATGGTGAATATCCTGGGTATAATCTCATGATAATATAAACCTTTATTTCTTTTATCTGGCCACGTATTTAATAATGAACTGCAGATTAAAGCATTTCTTAAAAACTTGATGAGTGATTTGTACTACATATTGTATACAGTAGAGCATATGATCAAAGGCATATGTTGGCATCAGAAGGAACATCATGACCTCATAAACGTCAATAATGGGAGGTGAGAATATAACCTGGTAATGGTATTTATAAATTATGTGATAAAACTTTTCCCTGTTATGTTAAGTCTAAGAATGGCGTAATTTTTTCTAGCTTTAGGACACCATGTTAATCTTTACTTCAGGAATTGGAGAAAAAGTTACGAAAGGTATTGGACGTGTAGGTTGGCTTTGGCAGTCTACAAAATGACTGACGACACTGGCAACAGGATATACAAGGATGAGAGTCACCGAGGAAGTGGGGGCATCTACAATAACAGTAGATCATTAGGTCCGTATAGCTGCTCGGTTATATTGCAGCTCTGATTCATGAACGAGCAAAGCAACACCTTCTGTGCTAAGTAATGTAAAAGACTGTGTTTTTGGTTGTTGTATGAGGATGACTGTATAATAAAACAACTGTACTGGCAAGTGTAAGTGGTGATACAGTCACTTGAAGCTGTATTTTTTTATACAGCATGAAAATCCAGTTTGAAGGCAGGAGAAATGGAAAAACAATGGAATTTTAGAGACTGACAATACAATAAACTGTATCCTGTAAATAAAGTATATAAATGATGTACTATGTCATAAGAAAAACACAATAGGGTGTAGGAATATGCATGAAAAAAGTATTATGAAGTGTAAAATCTACGGGAATCCGCTACAATCATAACTCACCTTCTGAATAGCCAAAGTTGTACATGATCTAAACACGAAAACATGTACATATTAAGAAAAGTTCTCATGGAAGAAGTTTTATGTCAAGTTAATGATGTTTAACAGCAAATATATCCATATGAAAATTATCTTTATATATAAATTGAAAAGTAATTTATGATAATGAGAAATTATTTTTACAGGATATCAAAAATACTTCAAAATTACACAATCTACTTCAAACACAACAAAGCAAGAAGCAACAAAAGCAAAAACAACCTTACCTTTTCTACTTGTGGCTAATCCATGCATTCATTCTCAAGCAGCAGAAATTCCTCAAGACTATCAGCCCTCCTCATACCACCACTGCGGGAGTGCCTGGAGGACTTCACTCTGCCACTACCTACACTACTTGAGTGCTGCTCAGAGTCCGAAGTAGACATGTATCTGGGGAGGGTTGCTGATTTCTGGTTTGGAATTTTAACTGTAGATTCTTTCAAGGGATAAAGTTCGGCATATGGAACCTTCGGGCGAGTGCCAGTTTTACTGATAGTATCACTGGAACTGGGTAAAGAACATTGTGGTAGTGGGCTCAGCACTCTCTTGGGAGTTAAAATTGGACTTTGTAATATTTTTGGAGCTGTAGATGGACTCTTTGAAGTTTTCACAGATGATGTTGGACTATACATTCGTTTTGGTGTTGAACCTGGACTGAGCATTAATTTTGGAGTTGATCCAGGACTCAGAACTGTTCTTGGAGTTGATCCAGGACTCAGAACTGTTCTTGGAGTTGAACCTGGACTTGTCAACCTTTTAGAACCTTGAGATGGACTATGAATTTTCCCTCTACCAAGTGTTGGGCTCTGAGCTCCTCCAGATACTGTGGCAGTAACTCTGCCTGCTGTTGGACTTTGGATTCTTGGAGACACAGGGAGAGGACTTTGAGCCCTAGATGATGTTCTTGAGGTCTTTGGGCTGTCATCTTTAGGTTTTCTAAAATTCAAATCCATAGCTCGATCAACAGACATTGTCCTCGGTGGTCGGATCAAGCTCCGTTGACGTTTTTCTCTGGATGGTCTTGGAGATTCCTGAGGACTTGAATCTTCAAGATCCTCTGTGGATGAATACTGGTACACAGGCATCGGTATTTTTGTGTTCTCGTGGATCTGTTTGAAAGTTTTTCTTATAAGCTGCGGCGTTGACATAGGAGAGCTTGGCTCACTCCACACATTTCTTTTAGGGCTTCCAGTCCAGTCAGTCAGACTGTCAAATGAGTGCTCTCTTGACATTGGTTTGGGAATCTTACTGGAAGCTTCTTCACATTTTGGCGAAAATTTTCGCACTTGTTTAGGGGTTGAAGTCGGAGTAGACTCATTTGACCTCCCCGCCCTGGGAATCCTTGACTCCCTCAGACTGTCTGATGATAACCCACGTGACATAACTAAAGGTAACTTATTTGGTGGTGAAGGACGATCCTTTCGTAGCGGGACAGGAGTGCTTGGTAAACTTGTTGATCTTCTGAAGGTGTGAGCCTCCGTTGGCTGTGAAGTTTCAGAACTACCAGCTCTCTCAGTTGATTTTGAACTCTCGCTCATAGTTTCACTTGATATTTTAGGATTCTCTTGAGAGACTGTGACTGAAGGCTTAGTCCTTGTTGCATGTCCTTGACTCTGTTCTGGTGCTTTGGGCAGAGATTTCAAGTTTTTGGAGCCGATTTTGGATGTCTTGGACACTTCTTCCTTCACATCTCTTTGTCCAGTCTGAGAGAGTAACTTCCTACCAGTAGCTGCATCTTTCTCAGCAAGATGTTTACTGGACGAAGAGGACATCATAGTCTCCTTTTTCTTTAATATTGGTTTTCTCCTCAGCGTGGGTGTCAACTGACGAGTTATTTTAGCCCCTTCCTTCACATGGTCAGTGGAGACTTCCGGAGCTTGTGGTACTGCAGGTTTAGGCATGTGTCCTGTGTTCTTTAATATAGATTTACGTTTCACCTTATGAACAGTACTTACTACTACTTGCTCTTTAGTTTTAGTTCCCATCGAATCCTTTACTGTTATTGACTGTGACGTTTCTATGCTTACATTTTCCTTAGCATTCGCAGGGTCAAACTCTTCTGGTCGTTTTGAGACCTCGGAGTCCGTCATCTGACCTACTTTTCCACAATCACTTATATCTGGTGTCTTATCGCCATCAGCACCTTGGCTACTGGTAGTAACGCCATCTTCAAGTGGCACTGCAACTTTTTCCTGCATACTAAAACTCTCAAAGTCGTGTGGATATTTCTCTTTTGGCCCATCTTCCTTACCTGATGATTCTTCTATTACTAATGGCTGATTAAGCATATATGTACTTGACTCTAAGTTTTGAGAGGAGGAAACAGTGTCATCAGCTGTTCCTTGAGGATGCTCACAAAGTTTCTGTTTTTTATTTTGCTCAATCGTCATTTCTATTTCTGCAGTTATATCAGCTTGTGCAAGTGAACTTAATGCCTCAATTACTTGAGATATAGAGTTGCGATGTGAGCTTAAGTAATTTGACAACACAGCCTGAGCAAAGTTGGGCGACTCGGTCTGACGTTCATCTTCAGACATTGTACTGGGAGTATCTGCGTCAAATTTAAAGTGAACGTGCTTCGTACTTGGGCTGAGAAGTTGAGACTTTGAAGTACTGAGTGTCTGCTCATCTTCCACAAAGTAAATTGGATTGACCGTGTAAGTACTAGTTCGTCTGCTCGTTGCATCACTCACAGTTTCAGTTTCAGAAATAAACACTGAATCACTACCTATGGAAAGATCACCAATAGACAGACAACTTGCCACTTCAACGTTAGCCAAACAATCACTCTGGGGTTCATTAAGCTGAGAATCACTCTGGTACTCTGTATCAGTCTGAGAACCATACTCAGTGTCACACTCTGAGATGGTGTCTCGGCTGCTCATGCATGAGGGATCACAAGATAATGAGGGCCTTCCAAGGCTGTCTACTGACATGCTGGTGACAGAAGTACTGGTAACACTGCCATCTAAAGCACATTGTACATCACTAGTGGACTGAACATCTACAAATGTTCTAAGTGGGAGAGACACACAAGATGTTACAGGGGAAGGAACTTGCGGAAGCTTTTGTTTCTCAGATGTGGACTTGGGTGTGACTGGGGAGGATGAAGGATTAGAAGACTGTAATATGGATGAGGAAACAGGTAAAGAAGACGGCAGCATAGGTGAGGAGGTTTGCGACACAAACTGGGAAGGTTGCAACACTGTTTTTTCTGACGGGTCCAGGGATGGGGTCTGGTGAAGCTGTGATCCACTCCTACGTGCACGAGAGCGCTCCACTATACCTGACATAGCTTGCTTGAGGTCTTCCATGCGGGTGACCCATTCTGGTTTGCGATAAGCCTTTGATGTCTCCTCTGTGTGCTCTGTAGAGGAGGAGAAATAGTAAGCACAAAGAGAAAGTAGTTGAAAGTAGGAGATTAATATTAACTGAATCAGTCATATCAACTTTTTAATACTGAAAGCAAGAATTGAAAAGCTTTCCAAAAGAAAAAAGATTGATGGGTAAGCATAATGAAGAGAAAGCAAATTTAATCATTTTATAGCATTAATCATAAAAGAAATCAAAATTCTCATTATCACTCGTCATTCCATTATGATAAATTATAATAAATATTATCGTCACCAGAGCTGCAAACAAAAAAATGTTAGGCAAATTATAACATCTGGAAATAAATAAATTATCTGTGGAGGCCTATGATACAATGAGAAGATAATGATGCATCAAGAGGCTACCCAAGACAAGAAGGGTTAGTGGCAGTGTGAGTGTTATGGTGCAGAATGTAAAAGTATTGAATGTAAAGACAAGTAGGCAGAGATCATTCTATATTTCCCAACAATGATGATTGAACTCGAGATGTCGTTGGGAAAAATCTGAAAGAAAATGGGAATCAGCTATGCAGGAAAAGTCCTGCATCTCTGTTTCCACATATAATTAACAAAGACAGACGAACAGAAAGACTACAAGCGCTTAATCAATAGATAGAGTCTTGTGACCATGAGAAATGGTGCAAACATTACGTTACTATCAAAGAAGTTGCTGTATAAACATTAAATCTCATTCACATATTTAATATGAATTTAAGATCTATACAACTCTAAACTCTGTCTCTAAATATAACTTCTGATATAAAATATATGAAAGCAGAGAGAACCAAATACAACCAAAGAATATAAACACATTTGCTCAACTCTTTACTTTGATGTAATAAATAAAACTGTTTATTCTATCAATATAAGGTTGGTTAAACTTTAAGTTCCTCTCTAACATAAAGTAAAGTTGGTTAAGCTTTAAAGCCTTATATAAATAATATCAAGTCTCATAACATTGTCTGTTAAGAAGATGTGAGTAAGAGAGGCCATAATGCATACCCGGGAGGACCACCAAGGTCGTCACAGTTGTGTCTACACCATTCCTGTTCATGGCCTCACAAGTGTACTCCCCACAGTCGTCCAGGACCGCATAAGGAAGTGTGAGAGCTTCAGTTCCATCCTCGTAGGTTTCCAGGGTGAGAGCCTCCGTTACCTCCACCGGCATACCATCTGCATGCCACTTGACAGTCGGCCGTGGGTACCCAGTAGTCTTTGTCAGCAATCTAGGGAAGATAGGTGACGCAGATCAGTGATTATGTAATGCATCTAAAATACATTAAAGTACAAAGGAATAAAGATAGATTCTCACCAAGGCTAAATTAATACTTAAATTCAAGGGCTCAAAGATACTGTAACACGACACTGAATTTTCGCCCTTCACACATACAAAATTTTAATACACATACACACAGGTCCCCCAAAACATTATCGCATCACTAACCACGAACCGTCATATGATCCATTTCTGTGTTATTCATGGCAACCAATAGACTGCATAGTTTTCAGTGTACAAAATCCTGTCACAAGGAAAAATATGGGCTGAATATATTGGTGGCCGCTTACCTTACGGAGGAACCCTCGATGACCTCTATCTTCTGCTCCAGTCTGTTGCAGAAGTAGGGTGAGGAACCAGCCTCAGAACTGTCGGATTCAGAGTCCTTTTCAATCTCAAGAGTTTCGTCTTCTTCGGATGTAGGTCCCGAAAACACATTTTTTTCAGATACTGAAGTTGTCGTTGCAGCCTCGGAGTCGGGGTGGTACTCGTAGGCTGTAATAATTAATATAATTGTGGTGTTTCGTCATAAGCATTAACATGTACACTGTACAGTAACAAGTGATGAACATGTGTGGTGCAGGAGGAAGTGAACAAGAAAAGTTTAATAATCTCTATCTGGGATAAACTTCAGCTTGAAGAGAAGGTGGCACGAGAAACAGTGCGTCATTACAATGAAATTCAAGTAAAATGAAAAACTCAGATTGTGTACTACAGATGTTTAGATATAGATAAAGATATTATTATAAAGGCAATAAAGTGATTTAAATAGTACAGTACACGTATTTCGGTGGTTGAATTTTACAAAAATCTAAAAGAAATAATTCAATGACACTAAGAATTGTGAGTCAAATATTCAAACACAGATTGCCAAGAGAATCATTTGATGAAGCATCATATAACAGTGATACTGTACTTACACTCCACACAAAGGTTGGCTGTGGTCCTTGCTTCTCCAGCCTTGTTGCGGGCAATACATGTGTAGTCGCCTTCATCTTCCGGGAACACTTCCAGGATCTGAAGACCAGCACGACCATCGGGAGTTTGTGTCAGTCGTACCTCACGATGATGGCCGATGGGTCGTCCATTCTGGAACCAAGTCAGCTTGGGCATTGGTTTTCCAGTTACTTTACAAGAGAAGCGAACTTCTTCACCATCCATAACACGGATGGGAGTCAAGGGAGGGCTGAAGGCAGGTGGCTCTGCTTCCTCGGCGCCTTCACCCTCCACCAGCAATGTGGCAGTGGAGGATGCTAGACCAACTGGGTTTTGTGCAGTAATTGTGTAGTCACCTGAGTCATCCTCAAACAGTTCCCCAAGAACGAGGGTAGTTTTGTTGTCTTCACTTGTGATCTGTACCTCCAGCTCCTCGTCAGTTGTTATCTTTTGGCCGTGTCTGTACCACATGAATTCAGCTGGTGGCTTAGCAGTAACTTCTGCTTCCAGAATGGCCACCTCACCCTCTGGGACAATCTGAGGCTGCAACGGTTTGATGAACTTTGGAGGTTCCATTTCAATTACCTCTTCGGGTTCTGTGAAGAAATAAATTATTGTGAGAAACTTAACAATGGAGACAAACGACAGAAAATTATAACTATGCTTGATAAAAAAGACATCAGGATTATATAAAAACAAGGTGATTGATTATCATGACAAAACACAACAAAAAACAGTCCTGTGCAATCACCAAAAAACATTAATTTGTGTTTATATAACAACTTAGAAATACTGTAAATACATCAATATAGACTTACGGGTGACAATGACGGTGGCAACAGAGCGTGCCTCTCCAACTTCATTGAACACCCTCACTTCGTACTCTCCACTGTCGTCATCGAAGACCTCCTCAATATGAAGGCTCGTTTCGTCATCGATATATTCGATTGTATAATCTCGTGAAGGCTTAAGTTCTTTGCCTTTGTGGTACCACTTAATGGTAGGTGGTGGGAAGGCCTCATAGCGCGCTTGCAAGTCAAGGGAAGAGGGAGTTTTCACTATCTGAGCCTGGAGAGGTCGAGTGATCCGCGGTGCCTGACGCAGTTCACTCTTCTCCAGCATCTCTATGTCCTCTACAGTAACGTATGAAGCTGTTTCATCTTGGCCGTGTTGGTTAATGGCAACACAGCGATACAGCCCCTTGTCATCAATGAAGACCTCACTGATGATGAGAGCAGCTCGTCCCGTGGTAGCATCGAACTCCTGGACAAACTCAGAAGATTGTACAACTTCCCTGTCCAGGTGATACCACAGTACCTTGGGCGTGGGCTGCCCCTTGACTGTGGTCTCCAATACTGCCTTAGAGCCATGTTCCACTTTGAGTGGCTTCAGTGGCTCTAAGATCTTAGGTGCCTGCCCACGGGGCTTATCCTTGCGCGCTGAAAAAACACGAGTTACATCAGTTATAACAACAAGCAATAACTGGTGTTAGTAGAAAAACAGAAGCTTTAATAAATATTTACATATCAGGAAGACAAACTTTTACTGAACAAGCAAAAATAACTGGTCTGCTACTTCATAGAGTCATTATGAATACCACATGAATGCTGGGTACACATTGACAAGTACTGATAATCATTATATATCATTTTGACTAAAATCCAGAATTTCACTGAATTAAAATTTTACCCTTAATGATGTTCTAAATATAAATTAATACAAAAACAAATATAACTGAAAGGTTCAACACAAAACACTACTAACGTCTATATACTTACTCGTCCGCCGGAGAAGTTTAGTAAACCACTCCAACATGCAAACACAGTATTGAAAACAAGAATATAATAAACAATACGGACAACAGTGTTTGTCTTACCCAGAATTTTACCAGTGTAAGGTTGCGAAGATGTGTTCCTACAGCCCCTGTGGTAGCCCGTGTCTCCAACGTCGCAGTAGTAGTATCACTATTTATGAATGAATGGGTAATGGTCGTGTATAACAACGGACGTGATTGGTGGATAGGTTTGCTATAGGTCATACAGGTTGGCCGTTTGGAGACACGGGATACCACAGGGAGTGTAGGAACACATTTTCGCAACTATACCACATGTCCTCCAGCTTTCACTACAGCTATCATCTGCAAGCCTTAATTCACAATCTATATGATTAGGGAGACCAATTTACCACCTGGTCACAATATTTTTACTGTATAATCACAACCTGAAACATTTACCTTAATTACCGAATACGATATACTAATCCACTTTAATTATAACTACGTATTACATTATTTCTCAAGGCTAAAGACAACTTACTTTAACAGTGACTCTCCTAATTACCTGTAACTCTTAAAGTGTTAATACTTTAATAGTTATATATAATTATTGCATTCTTTAACATCGACAAGTTACTTTATATTGACTTTCATAATAATTTGTCTTTCAGTATTTTTCTTGTCTTCTCAAATTTAACTTCTTGTAGCAGATATAAACTCATTTATCATCCATTTCTCCTTGACTCAAGTAGAGCTTCGACCCTCTTCAGTCTACGAGTTGCCCCCTACACGGTCCTGGCACCCGCCCTTGGCACTACCATACTGGGCAGGGTGCCAAGCATCACCTGCTCCAACACCAAGATTATCCTCCAATGGCATTAAACTCAGGATTTAACAAACTAACACATTAACTGGCGGAATAAAGTCTTCCTCGATTTAGTGGGGATTTGAGTACTCGAGGAGCTACTAGCCGCTGACCTCAGTATTTTTCACTTCTGCTGGTCAATTGTGGTCCCAAAACACCTGTACCTCACTTAAATGCCTACCACAATTGAAAAAAAAAAATTCTCGATTTAGATGGGATTTGAATCTTTCTTCCTCGGTGTAGCAGACGGTCTGATTACCCGAGCAAGTAAACAGCCATGAAGTCAAGGGTTTTACTTCCACCTGGTCGACAATGACGTCTCAACACTGGTGCACATTACCCACCATCTCTCTCTACCAGGGGTCTCACATCAACGTCAATAATCTTATAGTGGCAGCCATACCTCGCCTTACTTGGTCTCCTCCACACACACACACACAGTTAGGCTTCTTTGGTCAGGTTCTAATAAGTTCTAGTAACTGCCGCTTCTTTTCAATACTTACTGTAATGATAAACACAAATTGTGGCAATTATAATATTGATGACTTACCCACCGCCGATTTTTCGTAGAAAACGATGTTAAAAACACTGCAATTTCACTGTGTTTTATAGTGGACACTGTCACAGTTTTGGCAAATGTGTTAAAAAGTGGTTATTTATAAATTAAACCTAACCTAACCTTAGTTGATAAGAAAAACAAGCGGGGGAAGTGTTGTAAAAGACCTCACCAACTTAACCAAAGAAACCGTAGTAAGTTATTTATGTTTAATATATCGGAGGGTCCGGAGTGTGGAGCCTCACGGCTAGGAAGTTAGGTACGGTTAGTTAGGTTTATTTGGTTAGGTTGGCGAGATCATCTAACAACGCCTATGCCAAAACTACGATACTGTCCACAATAAAACACAGGGAAATTGCAGCGTTTTTAAATTCGTTTTCTATGAAAATTCGGCAACGGGTCAGTCGTCAATAATTACCAAAATAAACATCAAAACAAATAACGCATCGGCGGGTTGGTCTTAAATATTAGCCCAAATTGTGAAAATATGCCAATTTGTACGATTTTTCTGGTGATGTCGGTGTTCTCTTACATTACCTAAAAGCCAATTCTTGTGAGTTGATCTCACCTATAAATCTGCTGTATAATTTCTTGGTGAGGAGATCAATAGTAAAAAATCAAATGTTCATCATTAACATACAAAGGATCCAGCGGATCCCAGTACCGTCATTCCCTGCGCCGGTCACGAAGCAGAATCACCTATGGATTTCTGATTATTTGGGCAATCTTTCACCATATTCTTAGGTTATATTAGATCTTACTTCTATATACTTTTCCACTTCCAACTGGCCCATGGACCAATTTTGTTTTGAGTCAGAGAAAAAAGACGTCATAGCTTAAGGTATGACCAACTCTGGGGGATGGGAAATCTTAAATATTGTTGAGTATCCAGTCCCTGGGTCACACTCTTACGAGGCCGAGTGTTGTATTCATCACCAGTGACTACCACCACCAGCACACCGTCCTGAATTACACGAGGTTGTATCGTCTACAATTTACACATACCTGGCGGCCTATGAGGACGAGATATAACACACCCGTGACCATAACACATGCAGGCTAATGTTGAATATCTTAACAACACCGAACACACACTGTTAATAACGACATTAATGCAATCAACTCCGCAATATAAAATAACGCTGCTTCTTACAGTATGTGGAAAATAATATTAAATTTTAGTTTCACTTCGGTATAAATTTTACAAAAAACTACGATCAAAACAAACTTAAAAAACACTAATGAAGAAAAAACTCACACCATAGCCACGCAAACATTACTGCTGCCGGTGAGCGCAGTTGATAAGACTTGACGTCATGGTGTCATCATCACCCTGAGATGTTCACCCGTGCACTGCTCAACCCAGAATGACGCCCCGGGCGTGCTGGACGATACCCCGGAAACTGTTCAACCGGTGACGCAGTTGCCAAAGTGCCACAGATGACACAATTATGGCATCATGACACTATGCCAGATTTTATTTTAATGAGTCTCGTGCGTGTCTGTCGTCTATGGTGCAGCAGCAAGGTAAAGGAACAAAATACGGCGATTAAGGGTTAAATGATTAAAATGTGATAAGCAAAAGTGAGAAGGAGAACTATATGTGAGTAAAGAGTGTCCATTGGCCAGGAGCTCAGCCAATAGCTGACCGGGAAAATTAAACTAATCTTCATTCACGTGGAGGCACACACACACACACACACACACACACACACACACACACACACACACACACACACAGGTGAGACTCAAATAGAATTCCACAAATTTGTTACTGAAAACGTAAGACCTACTTTTAGCCCACTCTCCCAAACACAAAATGTATGAATGATCGGCACGTGTGTGTGTGTGTGTGCCCTTTCATCAACTGATGTTTCTTTACTCATACTAATTGGCCTCCCTCCCCTGGCGAGGCTATATATAGAGGTGGTCGCTATACAGGCGCCGTAGTTGCTGCTGCAGCGTCAGCAGGGTTGGCTGGGCCGCCCGCCACCCTAAGGTATATTTGGTGTAGGCCGAGATATGTGCCAGCGAGACCATGTTATGATCTAGTACACGGGCCCTCACACCTTGGCTAACTTTCTGAGTGGAGAATTTCTGAATCTTTTATTTTTTGGAAAATGACCGGCATGAATATTGGTAATTTTGCAAAATAACTTATAAACAGACAACCTTAACTAACATAACCTTACGGTTAGGACAACACATACAGTACTCCAAAGATTTAAAAAAAAAATTAATAATTGTGTATCAAGCTACACGAGCCATCCTAACATTAACCTAACATAACCTTATTCAACCATAAGGTTAGTTTAGGTTGTCTCTTTATAAGTTATTTTCCAATATTACCAATATTCGAGCCGGTCATTTTGCAAAATAACTGAGTCAGCCCAAAAAAAAAAAAAAAAAAAATAAAATAAATAAATAAATAAATAAATATATATATATATATATATATATATATATATATATATATATATATATATATATATATATATATATATATATATATATATATATATATATATATATATATATATATATGTGTGTGTGTGTGTGTGTGTGTGTGTTTAAAGCACGTACCGTACGTTTGTTACCCGTACACGGTTGATAAGTCATACAACGAGACAGTTAACCTTTATTATTCCTTACTATGGTGGTGGTGGTGAGCGAGTGATAGCTGCCACACAACACTATAGAAGTGGTGAAGCTAAATGACAGGCTCGTGTCATCACACACGCGTAAGGTGTTGTTTTATAATGAACGCTGTTCTCGTAACCCAGCATTACTGACCAAGATTAGCAAAGTTTATCTTAACTAAATATTCTACGTCACTAGATGTAAGAAAGGAAAATATTATACCCTTGGAGACATATAGTTCCTGTTTCATCAACTACATTTCACGCGCTGAAAACTATACGGTTATTCACAGCCGGGTTTCAGTATCAACATTCACCACAGAAAACGGTGTTGTATAGTGTTCTCTCTGATGCACCGGGTCTATAAAGCTTATTACCATTAAAATTGCTGTAACATTAACCAATAACTAAAATCATGATTAATATTAAGCATCAAATTTAGCAAAGACACAATAAAGCGAAAAATTAACGATCTTTCTACTCCTTTACTCAGCATTGTTTAAGATTCTTTTAAACGAATACTGAAGAAAGCATGAATGGCGGGGAGAAGCGGAGGGAGTCAAGGTCGACGTACACAAACACTATCTTGGTACTTCCTGGAGTGACTCTTAGGTGAACGCGCCAAGTCTGTCCCTGGCCAACCTTCACACTGGTCAAGGCCCAACTTTCTGGTCAAAATTTATTTAATAGCTTCATATCTTGGGGTGATAGTAAACCTTGTGGTGTGTAGCCTGGTACTAATGCCGTGTACTCATACTTTAGTAGTCTAGTACTAATGGAGTGTACTCATACTGTAATAGTCTAGTACTAATGCTGTGTACTCTTACTGCTGTCTAGTACTAATGCTGTGTACTCTTACTGTAGTCTAGTATTAATGCTGTGTACGAGGCTGCAGCAGTGTACAAGATTCTGCACAATAGTTTCATACCCTAGTTTTTATAAGTGAGGGTAAAGCCTCAGGATAATTCTGACTATTTTTTGTCGTTATTTCTAAGCTTTAAGTCGTCAGTGAGTTAAGTACATTCTTATATCTTCAGTTGCCAGGAATCTTTATCGTAAGAACTTGGAGAATGTGAACCTCGGTTATTTAAGTACAATACACATTTTTCCCCTCAACAACAAGTCATAAAAAGAGTGAATCTTTTGATTAAGGAGCAGCAGTTCCTATCAAAGACTGTGTCAATATTATGCTTTACGTGGTATAAAGTTACAGAAACAATGACTAGGATGCACCGCTACTATGAATCACGTTGTATCAATAAAACTCTTCGACACTATGATAAACCGCATGCGACGTGATTCCTGCCTATTATATTACCAGAAAATAAAAGTTTACGCATCTTTCAAAAAAAGAAAAGTAAGATAAAGATTAAACACCTGAAAAACAATTTATTATTTTTGTAAATACTGTAGTTGTATACCTACCGTGACCTGCGGAGTCCTTCAGTGTACAGGACTAAGACAGGGAAAAATATTGGAGAGAAATAATTCCCTTTCATTCTAAATATTAATACTTGTTAAATAGTCACACGCTAGGTTAAACATATAACAGATTTGTTCGTGTTATTCTTAACTATAAAAGAACCACACATGATATTTTTCTGAATAAACGAACTGACAGTTTTTATCACAGCAGACAACAACACACTTAATGAATGGGGTAAAATTCACAATATTACGTTTAATATCAAATCATGCATTTAAACAAATGTTAACACAATGTAAGATATTATCAAATTACACACGAAATAAAATCTACTCAAGAGGGAACTCGAGCTATAATAGAAATAGTCGTTAATAAGTAAAATCCGACGCATCGTGGCCAGAAAGTCGTAGAGCAGTTTTACCACATAAACAAACTCATCACTGTACCTTCCAGCACTAGGTTGGCAATGGTAGTTGCCTTCCCTGCCACGTTCACTGCCTCGCAGGAGTACATGCCTTCATCGTCCTCTGTGGTGCGAACGATGGTGAGGGTCGATTCTTTGTTTTCGTAGCAAATTATCCTATTGGGACTTGGTATGATTTCGAAGCTATTGAAATACCATTTGATTTCCGGCGGTGGGTAGCCCTTGACTTGACATCTGAAGACTGACTTATGAGCAGGTTGGCTGATCACAGGCTCCAGGATCTGAGAGAAGGATGGCGGTATGACTTCAATATCCTTCGGCTTTTGGTCTACACGTTTCAGTGACTTGACAGAAGTTTCCTTCTTCGTGACTATTTCAGTTAATTTCAGGTCAACTCGAGTGGCTTCCATCTTCTCTACCTTAGCTTCCTCGGGCTTGGGAGTCGCCATCACAGGTACCAGACCCTTCTTAGGTTCACCTTCCTTAGGTTTCTTGGGTTTCTTGCGAGGCTTCTCAGGTTCCGGCGATTTTTCTTTCTCAGGTTTCGAATAAGGTTCAAGAGGAGTCTTCTCCGGTTCCGGTATCTCAGGTTCATATGGTTTACCCGGTTTGTGTTTTGGCTTTGGTTTTGGTTCTGAAGGTTTCTCCTTCTTGAAGGGTTTTAGCACCACCTCCTCTTTCTCCTCTTCCTTGGGAGGCAATCTCTTACCCCGCCATGATGGGACTTCAGGTTCTTCCTCTTTCTTCTCTGGCTTCTTCCTATCCTTCTTGGGTTTAGGTTCTTCCTCTTCTGATGGCTTTTCCTCCACTGGTTTTGGGGCTTCACGTTCCTCTGAGGGAACCTCTTTAGGCTCAGGTTTAGGCTTGAGAGGTTTCTCGAGTGGCACCTTTTCTCTATCGAGAATCTCTGGTTCAGTTCGTTCGAATGGTTCCAACTCCACCGGCTCACGCTCTGGGATGTCTTTGGTTGGTTTCTTACCAGGCTTACGAGCCACTTTTTCTTTCTCCTCTTCTTCTGGCTTTTTCTTCGGAATAGGTTTTAACTGCGGTTTCTCCGGTTCCTTTTCAGGAGACTTTGGACGACGCTTTCCTGGTTTTAATTTCACTTGTTCCTCCTCCTCCTCTTCAGGCCTCATTTTACCCTTGCCAAGCTTCAACTTCCTCTCCTCTTCTGGTTCGGGTTTCTCCTTAGGTTTACGTACATGTTTCTTCTTCTCTGGTTCTTTCCCATCTTTAGGTTTTGGTAGAATTTCAAATGGCTCATACTTCTCGAGCTCCACAGGCTCTTTCTCTGCTATTTCCTCGGGAACATAAGTCTCATACTCAGGAGGAGGAGTCCACACTCTCTTCTCAACCTCAGGCTCAGGTTCTTCTGGAGTCTCAACATGCTCAAGTTCCACATTCTCTAGTGTCACCTCTTCGGGTACAAACACATTCTGTGTTGTTTTCTTCAGTGTCACCTTTGGAATCACGTACTTTTCTTCTACAGGAGCTTGAAGCATTCTTGGTCTCTTCTTCTTGGGCTTTGATGGTACTGTTGTTGGTTCATCGGGCTTCTTCTCTGGCTCATCAGGTTTTCCTTGTTCTTCTGATGGAATTTCTTCCACTTTCTCGGGCTTTGGCGACTCTTCCTTGGAAGGTTTAGGAACTTTCTCCTTTTCAGGCTTTGCATAAGGTTCACGTGGAGGTTTCTCGGGTTCAGGGATTTCGGGTTCATAAGGCTTACCTAATTTGGGTTTTGGAGTTGGTTTTGGCTCTGTGGGCTTTTCTTTCTTGAATGGTTTCAGTGTAATTTCCTCTTTCTCTTCCTCTTTGGGAGGAAGTCTCCTGCCTCTCCAAGAAGGTGTCTCGGCCTCTTCATCTTTATCTGGCTTTGTTCTCTCTTTCTTAGGTTTTGGTTCTTCTTCAGTTGAAGGTATTTCCTCGTCCTTCGGCTTCACAGACTCAGGAACTTCGTCAGGAACCTTTTCCCTTTCTGGCTTACTGTAAGGTTCAAGAGGAGTCTTCTCCGGTTCCGGTATCTCAGGTTCATATGGTTTACCCGGTTTGTGTTTTGGCTTTGGTTTTGGTTCTGAAGGTTTCTCCTTCTTGAAGGGTTTTAGCACCACCTCCTCTTTCTCTTCTTCCTTGGGAGGCAATCTCTTACCCCGCCATGATGGGACTTCAGGTTCTTCCTCTTTCTTCTCTGGCTTCTTCCTATCCTTCTTGGGTTTGGGTTCTTCCTCTTCTAACGGCTTTTCCTCCACTGGTTTTGGGGCTTCACGTTCCTCTGAGGAAACCTCTTTAGGCTCAGGTTTAGGCTTGAGAGGTTTCTCGAGTGGCACCTTTTCTCTGTCGAGAATCTCTGGTTCAGTTCGTTCGAATGGTTCCAACTCCACCGGCTCACGCTCTGGGATGTCTTTGGTTGGTTTCTTACCAGGCTTACGAGCCACTTTTTCTTTCTCCTCTTCTTCTGGCTTTTTCTTTGGAATAGGTTTTAACTGCGGTTTCTCCGGTTCCTTTTCAGGAGACTTTGGACGACGCTTTCCTGGTTTTAATTTCACTTGTTCCTCCTCCTCCTCTTCAGGCCTCATTTTACCCTTGCCAAGCTTCAACTTCCTCTCCTCTTCTGGTTCGGGTTTCTCCTTAGGTTTACGTACATGTTTCTTCTTCTCTGGTTCTTTCTCATCTTTAGGTTTTGGTAGAATTTCAAATGGCTCATACTTCTCGAGCTCTACAGGTTCTTTCTCTGCTATTTCCTCGGGAACATAAGTCTCATACTCAGGAGGAGGAGTCCACACTCTCTTCTCAACCTCAGGCTCAGGTTCTTCTGGAGTCTCAACATGCTCAAGTTCCACATTCTCTAGTGTCACCTCTTCGGGTACAAACACATTCTGTGTTGTTTTCTTCAGTGTCACCTTTGGAATCACGTACTTTTCTTCTACAGGAGCTTGAAGCATTCTTGGTCTCTTCTTCTTGGGCTTTGATGGTACTGTTGTTGGTTCATCGGGCTTCTTCTCTGGCTCACCTGGCTTTCCTTGTTCTTCTGATGGAATTTCTTCCACTTTCTCGGGCTTTGGCGACTCTTCCTTAGATGGTTTAGGAACTTTCTCCTTTTCAGGCTTTGCATAAGGTTCACGTGGAGGCTTCTCGGGTTCAGGGATTTCGGGTTCATAAGGCTTACCTAATTTGGGTTTTGGAGTTGGTTTAGGTTCTGTGGGCTTTTCTTTCTTGAATGGTTTCAGTGTAATTTCCTCTTTCTCTTCCTCTTTGGGAGGAAGTCTCCTGCCTCTCCAAGAAGGTGTCTCGGCCTCTTCATCTTTATCTGGCTTTGTTCTCTCTTTCTTAGGTTTTGGTTCTTCTTCAGTTGAAGGTATTTCCTCGTCCTTCGGCTTCACAGACTCAGGAACTTCGTCAGAACCTTTTCCCTTTCTGGCTTACTGTAAGGTTCAAGAGGAGTCTTCTCCGGTTCCGGTATCTCAGGTTCATATGGTTTACCCGGTTTGTGTTTTGGCTTTGGTTTTGGTTCTGAAGGTTTCTCCTTCTTGAAGGGTTTTAGCACCACCTCCTCTTTCTCTTCTTCCTTGGGAGGCAATCTCTTACCCCGCCATGATGGGACTTCAGGTTCTTCCTCTTCCTTCTCTGGCTTCTTCCTGTCTTTCTTGGGTTTGGGTTCTTCCTCTTCTGATAGCTTCTCCTCCACTGGTTTTGGGGCTTCACGTTCCTCTGAGGAAACCTCTTTAGGCTCAGGTTTAGGCTTGAGAGGTTTCTCGAGTGGCACCTTTTCTCTATCGAGAATCTCTGGTTCAGTTCGTTCGAATGGTTCCAACTCCACCGGCTCACGCTCTGGGATGTCTTTGGTTGGTTTCTTACCAGGCTTACGAGCCACTTTTTCTTTCTCCTCTTCTTCTGGCTTTTTCTTCGGAATAGGTTTTAACTGCGGTTTCTCCGGTTCCTTTTCTGGAGACTTTGGACGACGCTTTCCTGGTTTTAATTTCACTTGTTCCTCCTCCTCCTCTTCAGGCCTCATTTTACCCTTGCCAAGCTTCAACTTCCTCTCCTCTTCTGGTTCGGGTTTCTCCTTAGGTTTACGTACATGTTTCTTCTTCTCTGGTTCTTTCTCATCTTTAGGTTTTGAGAGAATTTCAAACGGCTCATACTTCTCGAGCTCCACAGGCTCTTTCTCTGCTATTTCCTCGGGAACATAAGTCTCATACTCAGGAGGAGGAGTCCACACTCTCTTCTCAACCTCAGGCTCAGGTTCTTCTGGAGTCTCAATATGCTCAAGTTCCACATTCTCTAGTGTCACCTCTTCAGGTACAAACACATTTTGTGAGGTCTTTCTGAGAGTCACCTTTGGAATCTCGTACTTTTCTTCTACAGGAGCTTGAAGCATTCTTGGTCTCTTCTTCTTGGGCTTTGATGGTACTGTTGTTGGTTCATCGGGCTTCTTCTCTGGCTCACCTGGCTTTCCTTGTTCTTCTGATGTAATTTCTTCCACTTTCTCGGGCTTTGGCGACTCTTCCTTAGATGGTTTAGGAACTTTCTCCTTTTCAGGCTTTGCATAAGGTTCACGTGGAGGCTTCTCGGGTTCAGGGATTTCGGGTTCATAAGGCTTACCTAATTTGGGTTTTGGAGTTGGTTTAGGTTCTGTGGGCTTTTCTTTCTTGAATGGTTTCAGTGTAATTTCCTCTTTCTCTTCCTCTTTGGGAGGAAGTCTCCTGCCTCTCCAAGAAGGTGTCTCGGCCTCTTCATCTTTATCTGGCTTTGTTCTCTCCTTCCTAGGTTTTGGTTCTTCTTCAGGTGAAGGTATTTCCTCGTCCTTCGGCTCCATAGACTCAGGAACTTCGTCTGGAGCCTTTTCCCTTTCTGGCTTACTGTAAGGTTCAAGAGGAGTCTTCTCCGGTTCCGGTATCTCAGGTTCATATGGTTTACCCGGTTTGTGTTTTGGCTTTGGTTTTGGTTCTGTGGGCTTTTCTTTCTTGAATGGTTTCAGTGTAATTTCCTCTTTCTCTTCCTCTTTGGGAGGAAGTCTCCTGCCTCTCCAAGAAGGTGTCTCGGCCTCTTCATCTTTATCTGGCTTTGTTCTCTCTTTCTTAGGTTTTGGTTCTTCTTCAGTTGAAGGTATTTCCTCGTCCTTCGGCTTCACAGACTCAGGAACTTCGTCAGGAACCTTTTCCCTTTCTGGCTTACTGTAAGGTTCAAGAGGAGTCTTCTCCGGTTCCGGTATCTCAGGTTCATATGGTTTACCCGGTTTGTGTTTTGGCTTTGGTTTTGGTTCTGTAGGTTTCTCTTTCTTGAAGGGTTTTAGCACCACCTCCTCTTTCTCCTCTTCCTTGGGAGGTAATCTCTTACCCCGCCATGATGGGACTTCAGGTTCTTCCTCTTTCTTCTCTGGCTTCTTCCTATCCTTCTTGGGTTTAGGTTCTTCCTCTTCTGATAGCTTCTCCTCCACTGATTTTGGGGCTTCATGGTCCTCTGAGGAAACCTCTTTAGGCTCAGGTTTAGGCTTGAGAGGTTTCTCGAGTGGCACCTTTTCTCTGTCGAGAATCTCTGGTTCAGTTCGTTCGAATGGTTCCAACTCCACCGGCTCACGCTCTGGGATGTCTTTGGTTGGTTTCTTACCAGGCTTACGAGCCACTTTTTCTTTCTCCTCTTCTTCTGGCTTTTTCTTCGGAATAGGTTTTAACTGCGGTTTCTCCGGTTCCTTTTCTGGAGACTTTGGACGACGCTTTCCTGGTTTTAATTTCACTTGTTCCTCCTCCTCCTCTTCAGGCCTCATTTTACCCTTGCCAAGCTTCAACTTCCTCTCCTCTTCTGGTTCGGGTTTCTCCTTAGGTTTACGTACATGTTTCTTCTTCTCTGGTTCTTTCCCATCTTTAGGTTTTGGTAGAATTTCAAATGGCTCATACTTCTCGAGCTCTACAGGCTCTTTCTCTGCTATTTCCTCGGGAACATAAGTCTCATACTCAGGAAGAGGAGTCCACACTCTCTTCTCAACCTCAGGCTCAGGTTCTTCTGGAGTCTCAATATGCTCAAGTTCCACATTCTCTAGTGTCACCTCTTCGGGTACAAACACATTTTGTGAGGTCTTTCTGAGAGTCACCTTTGGAATCTCGTACTTTTCTTCTACAGGAGCTTGAAGCATTCTTGGTCTCTTCTTCTTGGGCTTTGATGGTACTGTTGTTGGTTCATCGGGCTTCTTCTCTGGCTCATCAGGTTTTCCTTGTTCTTCTGATGGAATTTCTTCCACTTTCTCGGGCTTTGGCGACTCTTCCTTGGATGGTTTAGGAACTTTCTCCTTTTCAGGCTTTGCATAAGGTTCACGTGGAGGCTTCTCGGGTTCAGGGATTTCGGGTTCATAAGGCTTACCTAATTTGGGTTTTGGAGTTGGTTTAGGTTCTGTGGGCTTTTCTTTCTTGAATGGTTTCAGTGTAATTTCCTCTTTCTCTTCCTCTTTGGGAGGAAGTCTCCTGCCTCTCCAAGAAGGTGTCTCGGCCTCTTCATCTTTATCTGGCTTTGTTCTCTCCTTCCTAGGTTTTGGTTCTTCTTCAGTTGAAGGTATTTCCTCGTCCTTCGGCTTCACAGACTCAGGAACTTCGTCAGAAACCTTTTCCCTTTCTGGCTTACTGTAAGGTTCAAGAGGAGTCTTCTCCGGTTCCGGTATCTCAGGTTCATATGGTTTACCCGGTTTGTGTTTTGGCTTTGGTTTTGGTTCTGAAGGTTTCTCCTTCTTGAAGGGTTTTAGCACCACCTCCTCTTTCTCTTCTTCCTTGGGAGGTAATCTCTTACCCCGCCATGATGGGACTTCAGGTTCTTCTTCTTCCTTCTCTGGCTTCTTCCTGTCTTTCTTGGGTTTGGGTTCTTCCTCTTCTGATAGCTTCTCCTCCACTGATTTTGGGGCTTCATGTTCCTCTGAGGAAACCTCTTTAGGCTTAGGTTTAGACTTGAGAGGTTTCTCGAGTGGCACCTTTTCTCTATCGAGAATCTCTGGTTCAGTTCGTTCGAATGGTTCCAACTCCACCGGCTCACGTTCCGGGATGTCTTTGGTTGGTTTCTTACCAGGCTTACGACCCACTTTTTCTTTCTCCTCTTCTTCTAGCTTTTTCTTGGGTGTAGGCTTCAAATGTGGTTTTTCCATTTCCTCCCCTGGTGGTTTAGGTAGGCGCTTTCCCGGCTTAAGCTTTACCTGTTCCTCTTCCTTCTCCGGCGGCCAGCGACCTTTGCCAAGTTTCAGCTTCCTGTCTTCCTGTGTTTCTGTCTTTTCCTTTGGCTGGCGCTGATATCTGTCCGTTTCTTCTTCCATGACATCTTTTGTCTTTTGAGTGGGCTCAAATTTGTCAGGTTTATCAAGTTCCACAGGTTCTTTGTCTGGCAACTCCTCTGGAGAGTAGGTTTCATAATCAGGCAGGGGACTCCATTCCCGCTTTTCTTTTTTGGGCTCAACTTTCTTCGGCTTGTCTACGTGTTCAAGAGCTACAGATTCAAGCTTTTCTTCCTCAGGGACAAACTTCTTTGGAACAGTTTTCTTTAATGCCACTTTAGGTATTGTGAATTCTTCTTGTTGAGGTTTTTCTCTCGGAAGTTTTTTACTGGGTTTTGGTTTACTTTTCGCCTGAGGAGTAGGAACATCTTGTTCCTCTGACGTTATTTCGTCAACGTCTTTGGCCCCTGGTTCCTCCTTTCTTCCAGGTTCTTGAGCTCTTTCTCTGTCTGGTTTGGTGTAAGGTTCGAAAGGTATTTCCTCTGGTTCAGGAATTTCCGGTTCATGTGGTTTTCCTGGTCTAGGCTTACTTATTGTTTTTGGCTCTTTCGGTTTTTCTTTCTTGAATGGTTTTAGTGTAATTTCCTCTTTCTCTTCCTCTTTGGGAGGAAGTCTCCTGCCTCTCCAAGAAGGTGTCTCGGCCTCTTCATCTTTATCTGGCTTTGTTCTCTCCTTCCTAGGTTTTGGTTCTTCTTCAGTTGAAGGTATTTCCTCGTCCTTCGGCTTCATAGACTCAGGAACTTCGTCAGGAACCTTTTCCCTTTCTGGCTTACTGTAAGGTTCAAGAGGAGTCTTCTCCGGTTCCGGTATCTCAGGTTCATATGGTTTACCCGGTTTGTGTTTTGGCTTTGGTTTTGGTTCTGAAGGTTTCTCCTTCTTGAAGGGTTTTAGCACCACCTCCTCTTTCTCCTCTTCCTTGGGAGGTAATCTCTTACCCCGCCATGATGGGACTTCAGGTTCTTCCTCTTCCTTCTCTGGCTTCTTTCTGTCCCTCTTGGGTTTAAGTTCTTCCTCTTCTGATAGCTTCTCCTCCACTGGTTTTGAAGCTTCAGTCTCCTCTAAGGGAACCTCTTTAGGCTTAGGTTTAGACTTGAGAGGTTTCTCGAGTGGCACCTTTTCTCTATCGAGAATCTCTGGTTCAGTTCGTTCGAATGGTTCCAACTCCACCGGCTCACGTTCCGGGATGTCTTTGGTTGGTTTCTTACCAGGCTTACGACCCACTTTTTCTTTCTCCTCTTCTTCTAGCTTTTTCTTGGGTGTAGGCTTCAAATGTGGTTTTTCCATTTCCTCCCCTGGTGGTTTAGGTAGGCGCTTTCCCGGCTTAAGCTTTACCTGTTCTTCTTCCTTCTCCGGCGGCCAGCGACCTTTGCCAAGTTTCAGCTTCCTGTCTTCCTGTGTTTCTGTCTTTTCCTTTGGCTGGCGCTGATATCTGTCCGTTTCTTCTTCCATGACATCTTTTGTCTTTTCAGTGGGCTCAAATTTGTCAGGTTTATCAAGTTCCACAGGTTCCTTGTCTGGCAACTCCTCTGGAGAGTAGGTTTCATAATCAGGCAGGGGACTCCATTCCCGCTTTTCCCTTTTGGGCTCAACTTTCTTCGGCTTGTCTACGTGTTCAAGATCTACAGATTCAAGCTTTTCTTCCTCAGGGACAAACTTCTTTGGAACAGTTTTCTTTAATGCCACTTTAGGTATTGTGAATTCTTCTTGTTGAGGCTTTTCTCTCGGAAGTCTTTTACTGGGTTTTGATTTTCTTACCTGGGAATCTGGTGTTTTTGGGGAATGTTCTTTCGTTGTTTCATCTATCATTTCTTCACGTTCATCCCGTATTTTATCTTCTTTTTCATTAAATCTATCGTAGAACTTCTCCTCAGGTTTTGTGTAAGGTTCTAGAGGAGTCTCCCCTGGTTCAGATACTTGGGGTTCGTATGGTTTACCTGGTCTGAATCCCGCTGTTGATCTGGTTTCTTCAGGCTTATCTTTGTGGAATGGCTTCAACACAACCTCTTCTTTTTCGTCGTCTTTTCGCGGGACTCTCTTGGTTCTCCATGGGAGTGCTTCTGGTACTTCATCTTTTTTCTCTGGTTTAGTTCTTACTGTTCTTGGCTTAGATAACTCGTCCTGAGAAATTTCATTGTCATATTCTGATTCGGGAACTTCTGGTTCCTTGAACGAAACCTCCTCTGTACTTGGTTTTTGTTCAAGAGGTTTCGCGAGCTGTACCATATCTTTATCGGGAATATCTACATCAGAACGCTCATATGGTCTAAGTTCTACAGGTTCACGCTCTGGAATGTCTTTGGATTGCATTTTACCAGGTTTAAGAGGTGTCTTTGTTTTCTCCTCTGGCTCTGGCCTTTTCTTCGCAAATGGTTTTAAATGAGGCTGCTCACGTTCCTCTTCCGATGGCTTAGGTAAACGTTTTACTGGTTTCAGCCTAATTTGCTCCTCTTCTTTCTCCTCTGGTTTCCACCTTCCTTTACGAAGCTTCATAGGTCGATCATCTCCTATTTCAGGTATCTGTTCTTTGGGCTTACGTTGGTAAGTCTCATAATCCTCAATCAGCTCTGGCCTTTCTTCTTCCTCTGATTTTAGCTTTTCTATTGTATCCAACGAAACTCGTTCACCATTGATTAGTTCCTCGGGACTATATCTTTCATATTCAGGGAGAGGACTCTGTTCACGTTGGTCCTTTCCTGGCTTGGTCTTCTTGGGCTTTTCTACGTGTGCAAGATCCACACTTTCAAATTTGGATTCCTCTGGGACGAACTGAATTCTTGGTGCTTTCTTGAGTTGTACCTTCGGAAGTACGAACTTTTCAGGCTCCTCCTTTTCTTTTGGAAGCCGTTTACTGACTTTTGGTTTTAATCTTTCTGGTTTAGGGAATCTTTCACTCTTAGATTCTCGAACATCTTCTGACGCCTCATCTAACGGGGAAATTTCGTGTTCATACGGTATTTCTGGTTCAATTTGGTCAGTTTTGAAAGGCTTTAGTGTCACATCTTCCATTTCCCCATCTTTTAGAGGAACCCTCTTCGCTCTCCATGAGAGAGCTTCAGGTTCTTCATCTTTTCTATCTTCTGGTCTTGGCTTTCTCTGTAAAGGTTTCAGCTGAGGCTTCTCACCTTCTTCAGGTGCTTTTGGTATACGTTTGCCAGGTTTCAGCTGAACCTCTTCTCTAGTGTCTTCTTCAGGCTTCAATCTTCTTCTCCGTAAAACTAGCTTCTTTCCCTCCTTTGGTTCTTTTGGTTCCTTAGCATCTTGCCTCTTACGCAGATATTTTTCCTTTTCCCTCTGAACCTTTCCTCTGCTTCTTGGCTCCTGTGCTGGCGTCTCTTCCTCACCATAATCGCCATATTCACCATCAGAAACATATACATATTCGTAGTCATCATAATCAGATTCGGGGCTCTCCTCTTTACCATCCTCCACTAAAGGTTTTCCAAGTTTCTCTGTATGAGCGAGTTCTACCGGTTGAAGCTTGGTCTCCTCGGGTAAAAACATCTTTGGTTGAGATTTCTTGAGTTCTACCTTGGGTATCGTCCACCTCTCCTGCTCCTTGGGTTCCAGCAGTCTAGCAGATTTCTTGAGTTTTAATGCAGCTGATCCAATGTCCTCCTTCTGTTTCTCGACTAACCATGGTGCAGCTTCTCTCTTCTTCCTCTCAAGCTCCTCTTCAGTTCTCTGTCTAAATCCTGAAAATCCATCCTTTCCAGGGCGACTACCATCTCGGTCGGGTCTTGCTGGGCTACGAGAAAGCCACCTAGCAGGGCTAGGTGAAACCCATCGATGCCTTCGTGTCTCTCTCTCCTTAGTCCGACGAGTGACCCTGATATGATCTTCCTCTTCTGTATAGGAACCTGTAGGAAATTAATCCAACCTGTAAGCAACAAATTGTGCACATGTATGTGCCACAAGGGATGCATGAGGGCAATGTGTCATTAGAGTAACTCACTAACAGTGACTTTGTCCTCGGTGGACGACCAAGTCCTGGCAGGTTAAATTTAGATATACACCTCACCAAAGACAAGAAAAAAAAAAAAAACTCATTCCATCAAAGGTAGCAGATGTTTCACTAGCTGTGAGTCAGCGTGTCTATAACACATGATTCATGAGGGGGACGCCCTATGTGTACGGTGGGCGGCGTTTAAATAATGACGTAATCTCTGAAACACTAAATTCCCAAATGATTCGTCCTCGTCTCAGTTGAAGAGCCAATCTGGACGTTCGCTACTACCCCACTGCGTTCTCATTGGACGAATGTGGCGGAGGCACTGTGACGTGGGCGGGCTTTCCTCCCACTAGAGCTACTTCAACCGCAAATGCTCGAGCACTTCAGTTTTCTCGTCGCACTGGTGGAGTGAAGACTAGCTGAGCTAATTCACAATGATCGTGAATGAACTCTGAGGAAAATTGTTAATCTTACACTTGCACCCGAACTCTAAGAAAGCTCAAGGACGAGAGACTTTACATATTATTCCCTCTATGAACAAGGGCCTCGAAACGTGGGAAAACCAGTGGGACGTCCGGCTATATTCTACCTACATTAAAGACTTTAAGCGGCTGTAAACGTAGTACAAAGTCGAAATAATTTCAATACGATAAACACTATGAAAACTACAGGGAAAAGCACCGAAATGTTGAAGCACAGGAAGAGACTGGCGGAACTAAACTCTAAACAAAGTCAACATCTGGTGAGAACTGGCGGCGAGAAGCGAGTGTATACAAGCATGTAGAGCCTAGTGACAGCTCTGGACCCAGGGGTGAAGAGCCACTACCCTTCACAATACTACAACTACTGGAACCTGTGAGAGGTATGGTGATGTTATCGTGTGTATAACACAGTACAGTAACTATGTTGGTTGTCCTTTCGTTTGAAAATTTTGATATAGAACGAACAACACAAGACGGTGGAATCCCGTCCAATTTAATTAACGACAAGTGTGGCGGCGCCAGTACAGTTGGTTGAGTTTTAAACAACCACTGTTTCTAAAGTTACCAGAGAATAATTGAATCTTTTCTAGTTAGTTCGTATATTTTCTCTGCTTTTAGATCTATGAGTATAAAGCATTCACTTTAAGAAATGAGAGAGAGGGAGATGATTCATAGCCTTTCTTAGCCTCCATGACTCACTGAGGCAGACCCAACACCCAGGCACCCAAGGAGCAAAATTAGTCACTTCTTATATTACCTCATTTGGCCTTCTCCCGCCCTCAGCATGAACCCCAACTCCCTCATGTCCTCATAAGGCTTTGGCAGCTGTAGCAATGAGGCCATATCCTCGAGGCAGCTGTATATGAACAGTGCCAAAACTTTTTCATCATTAGATCCATGGCACTCGTGTGTGTGTGTGTGGCACCGCTTGAGCCACTTGGTGTAACAGCGCGCTTATTTTGGAGTGTTTACAACATTCTCACGACTAGAAGGTAAATAGGCTATTTTTCAGGACACAGTCATCATGAGAGTTTTCTCAGTAATATAGTCCTGTAGTATCAAGGCTAGGCACTAAAATTAGCAGTTGCCCTTCGGAGTTTTTCCCCAAACTTTGTGCACGACCTTGAGGTGATTTTTAACTTTGTTTTTCCCGCCAGGTAGTGGGGAGTAGAGGAGCGTCGCGCGGACAGTTGACGGCGCCTCTCACCCACAACACTTCCACACCCTAAAGGTAAGCTGTTAACGAAAGTGTTCTCACTGTTATCTTGTGACAGCCGCCGGGGCTGTAAGGCATGTAGTGCGGTTTTGCTAACTGTACAGTGCAGCTGTTCCTCTCATGAGCAATACGCAAGATTAGTTCAGTCAAGTCAAAAATTTTATAATTTTGAGCGGTGGTAGCAACTCTTGTACAAAATATAAATTGTTTCTTACGAATATTTACCTGACCCCTAACCAGCTTGAGTATATAAACATATAAACGCATTAATTAAATTTGACGTACAGCTGGCCATGTGGTCACAGGTTGAACTAAATAAACCCGTGATGTTTCCCGTGAGCCACAGTTTCTCAGGACCTATACGGACATGCCACTTTCATCATCGCCAGCAGACGGCCAGCCACTCCATGTGTTTCCCTCCCCCAAACGGCCAGGCTACCCTGCTCACATCAAAGGATAACTTCACCCTCAACACATCTGGGTCAGCCGCCATATGAGGTATTACTCTGTGATCTTTTCCGTGTGTCACTTAAAAACACTTTCATGACGCTGTCTGTGATTTGTGTGTGTGTGTGTGTGTGTATTTGAAGACTCATAAGTACATTTGGCATATTTTTTTAAATGTACATGTCCCCATCATTGTGCTTTATGTCTGGGGAAGAGACCGTGTAATATATTTGTATATTATGAACAACTAAATAAAATGAACCACATACCGGTTTTTCATTGAACCTTATTTATTTTCATGTAATAATTAACTAACACGAAGAGTTGAATAAAGTTTGGTATGACCATCCTAGAGCAGGAGAGCTGAGTTCTGAGTCAGTAAGTTTCCTGGATCGCCTTAGTTTATTTGCTTAGTAGATACCGGCTTCTGACGTACAAGTAATTTTTGGGTTTACCAGCGGGAGTCGGTCACCTGGCATAAGACATTCCCTTGACAACCCTCTGACCTTTCCTACCAAATATGAGGCAGTTATTTGGGCCGCGCTTACAGCACCAAATATGAGGTAACACCTTGAATGGCTTCCAAAGAACTCGGTCGTGTCACTCGTTCCCCTCAGTCGTGAGTCACATATAGCTCCCGCGGCCACAGCAACGCCTGCCTCCCCCTACTCAACCTCGCTGCCTTACGCATCTGTTTCCCTTAATCGACAGACGCGTAAGGATACAGTAATAAGTTTCAACGGTGCATGAAGAAAAGTTCTTCCGGAATACGTTAAGGTTTTAAATATATTTTGAGAAGGTTCACTCATGTGTGTAAGCTGGAGTGCTCGTAACTGGCGCGAAGTTTACACAAGAAGTTAAATGTTTAAGGAAGGGAACATACAAAAATAATCGAAGCTAAACTGAGATTGAGTCCTGCCTTGGAAAAACGCGGGAAATGTGTGTAGTAGGGAGGTGGGGGGACTACCAGCTGCAGGTCTGATAATTCATCTCAACAACAGCTTTTGCCAAATTAGATGGCCTTGATGATAGAATGTGCAACGGGTTATTATTGTGTCTAGTTCATATTTACGTTATAATTATATTTATTTAAATGCTTATTAGGAAAGGTATTATTGTATAATTGTCTGACGAGTCAGCGTAACGTTTTAACAATAAAAATCCACGAGATCACATTAAGATATGTTGAATGACCTAATGGTTGAGTACCAGGGGCGCGTGAGTGAGCTGAAAGAATAAGAGAGGATAATGAAAACTGGGATTGTGTTTGTGTGTGAAAGAGAGGAGAGATGTATGTGAGTGGGTCACGTAGGTGTTATAGAATGGATGAGTGTATGTGAGAAAACATGTGTGTAGGCTGAGAGAGAGCGTGTGTGTGAAGGTGAGAGGGGTAGAGGAGGGGGTGAGAATGTACGTGAATTTGATGACCGTGGAGTGTGTGTTAACTCGGTGTGGGGGGGACATGTGTCGAGCTCATCAAGACCATCCTCACGTAAACAAAAAAAATAATAATACTGTAAACCATGTGAGTGAACGTAGGTAAAAATGTTTGTACGTGACTAAACGCATGTAACTGAACATACGCGATCATGAACACATGGAACAAGGCACAGAGCAATGTGCGCGCCTTCTGCTGTGAAAGTCACCCGAGCAGCGACCTCCACCTCCTAGCCCTATCCACGAAGGGCCAACACAAACGCTTTAACGAAAAGAATGCATCAATGTGTCAGTAAAAGTGAGTAGGTGACGAAAACAGAGAAAGAGACGGGAGTGCACCACTGTCCACTGTCAGATGCGCCTCACTTTAAAGTGTTTTGTAAGTGTGACTCGAGAGCCGTGTGAGAGAGACAGGAGGGTAGGGGGTGGTGCTTTCATGTGGTGTACACCTGGGTGGTGATGGTGAACGCCAGCCTGGTGACCGAGCTACTATATATACACGTGACCAGGACGAGTAAGGGTCTCTCCCCCTCCCTTTCTCCCCCACAGCGCTCCCAATCTCAAAATACAACAGTAGAACCTCTACAGCCCTACTACCCCCTACTGCGACCCTATTATGCCATCCTGCGGCTGTACTACCAACTCCGCAAGCTCTATTATGCCAGCCTGCAGCTTTACAACCTACTCTTGCGGCTGTAAGCACCGACAGGTTTACCCCTCTACTGTCCTACCATAGTATCTACCATTACCACCACCCCTCTACCCTCCTACCACATTAACTACCACCACCACCCCCACCTCGCTCCCCTCCCACCATATTATCTTCCATTACCACCACTCCTCTACCCTCCTACCACAATAACTACCACCACCTCACTCCTCTACCCTCCTACCACAATAACTACCACCACCTCACTCCTCTCCCCCACACTGGTACCATATGCCTTCCTAGCATCACCCCTACCCAGCTACCCTCCGCAGGTTTACCACACCACCAGCCACGGCCGTCATCACCTGCACGAGCTATCAGGACTAATTATACTCCCCCCCCCACGTAACCCTCTGTATACCAGCTCGTGTATGTCCGTCCTACACAACAAACTCTAAATACAGTACACAGTTTCCTTCGATGACTCACCCTCATAGCTGAAGAGATGATGAAGTAAGGTTGTATCTAACTGGTTGACTTAAGGTATAACACAAAATACCTTAACGTCAATTTATAACATCAATATTAACTGAATATATGTCTTAACTATTGAGACGACAAGACAAAGTTAGTGTGGTGTTACAGCTTTCGTCAACGAGTTAGTTTATCTATTTCTTCAGTTATGAGGAATATTCATATCAGGAGCCTTTGAGACTGAGCCCTGGACTAACTGTAGCCATCGTGTAGACTCTCTTAATAATAAGCTTTCCATGAATAATGTCTGGTGATCCCAGCAGTGAGTCGATCGTTGACATGTCTGCTCACTCCCCTACACCCCTGTGGCTCAGTTGTACCACTTAGTCCCCACATGTGTGTCCCGGACATCTGTGTGGCGTCACCTCCCAACACGTCTTTCATGTTGATCTGTATCTCGTCACACGCCCGTCCTCACCCATGAGTCACCGCCCGCCCCATGTCAACAGTTGAGTCACCTGGGACGATTATACTGCTTTATTATTATTAATTATAACAATCATTGGTCCTCAAGATATCGAAGTTTTGTGAACTATTCTAACACGGTCATTATACTCCTAACGCGATGTGACTGTGCATAAGACTCCCTAAAAGCTTATCCTATATTCGCTTATCCACGATGACTTAAACTTGTTACTTGTACAGACTTGAGCTCTTAAACATGAACCCCTTACCGGCGAGGCAGTAAACGCAGTAAACATTTTCAAGACCTGACTGAACTCCTTAGCTTAAGCAAAATTGTACTCCAGTCTTGTCAGTATACCGTAGTTGTTAAACGACATTCAGCTCCGTATAAGAGTGGGTGATGTTGAGGGTGTGGGTGCCGGGCTGAGGTGTGGCGTCAGGGGGAGGCTGTCTGGCCCACACTAAAATTAGCCCCCCTTCCCCCCAGCCTCTCTCTCCGTTATCGCCTGGTAGTTCTCACACGGGATTCACGCCCATAAGGCAACCACAGTTAAAGGTCATGTTGCTGCTGGTGAGCGGATAGATAGGCTCAATGGATGTGGCATTTCCATTAGGTGTTGGTGAGGCTGTGTGAGGTTCCTGGGTTGTCGTGTATGAGTAACAGTGTGTGAGTGGCCGCTGCTATTTGCAGTATGTCCAACACCGTGTTGTTATGATGATCTTTGTAATAATAATATCCATAATATCCAAGATCTCATGTTGCTAGCCTTATTAACTCAATATTAAGTGCCTGTACTTTTATTTTACAAGTATGTTATACATGTTTATTCCCTGAGTGGCTGAGGTGGGGAGTTGACCCGCCAATGGCTTCACTCCTCAATACCTGTCAGCCAACCCGTCATTTTCTGATTTTCTACCATCAGTGAATCAGTAATTCTGAGAACAAGATTCTGTCTCTGTCTCTCTCTCTCTCTCTTAAAATGCCTTTATGCTCTGGTAATCATCTTATTAAGAAGTGTTCAAATTTGTTTCAAATAAAAATGGTACATTTCAAACACCAAGACTTTTCCTTTCCTTATCCATTAGTGAAGTGTTGATGCTCTACTTGACAAAACCAACATGAAGAAGTAAATAATGTGAGGTGTATACACCGCCTGGTCCAGCTGTCTCTGAAGCAGTCTGCCTCAGCTATATTTATGTCCCCTCCACCACCTCCTGGCAGCAGAGAACGGCCACCACGGTGTAGAGGCCGTGGGGGAGGCCGCGCCGCACTCCCAATAATATTCCAACAATAATATACTACCACCACCACTACCAGCCACCAGGGCAGAAGAGCTCCTTCAGGCTAAACTGGTCCCCTGTTCTCACATTGGCAAACAATAGGTATAGACTTCGCTGGCAGGACAAGGCCTCTATATGGCCGATTCGCTAACCGGTGAGCAACAAGTTTCACTGAAACAGCACACGAGAACGACAACTTATAGTTTGTGAAAAGTGTTAAATTATAGTTTTTCGCTCTCGTGCGCCATTTTTTTAAGAATTATTCCTCACTACTTAGTGATTCAGCACATGTGACGCCACCGTCCCGCTAATGTTTACCTCTCGTCTTAGTATACACCAAGAGGGGACCAGTTTAGCAGTGAGTGTTACTCAGACTAATAATGCTCACTACTAGTGCCCTCCACATCGCCCCGCCACCGAGACATATGTACAAAATTTAAAGGAAGAAATACTTGCTTAAATAAATGAGGCATCCAACATATTTTCCTCCACCGCCAGTACTGTGCAGTACAGCAAGAGTGAGACAAGCAGTGAGGAAGACGAGAGCGGTCAGTGGGCGGGAAAATGTGGTGCGGTGCCTCACGCTTATGTCAAGTGTTGGAGAAAAGGTAAACCGGGAGATTTTTATCACTGATTATTTTATTTATGTTTCCCAAGTTTTGTACATTATTAAATTGTGTTTATCATGCTGAGGAAACATTATACATGTGATGGCGACAGCCAGTCATGCATCCCTTCACCTCTTAGTTATCTTACAATAAGGTTTATTGTCCCAAACCTCAGATAAATATATTCAACATATTGTCTGAGCACAGTGTAAACTTCCGCTGGACAGTGTGGTTCATCTTACTCGAGTGAGCAAATATAACTCGTCAATAGAGATATGAAAAGGCATTCTTAAAATATTCAGGAATAACTTGTGAACGTTAAGCATACAAAAATAACTGGATTATTTGCTACAATGTTTAATGCTTCATCAAACAGTCCAAGGAAAGTCTATATGGTAAATTATCAATATATAGAGACAAGAAATACAGCAGATATATTCTATGGTAAAGCACCAAACACATACAGAGGTCAACTGGTGTACTGCTCGTAAATTACTGAGTTGTTTATTTTATTTATTTACTTCAAATGTTCACCAGTATCCGCCGTGGTGACGACTTAGCAGTGAGTGAACCCGTTAAAGCGAGGGGTCATGTGGCTGGCCCTCGCTTTAACGGCGTATTGTTCGTAAAAATATTGACTTTATGCTTCGACAACCACTTAACAAACTCTACACTTGAAGGATTTGTTGGTGTGGGTCACAGTCCTTGGTGGCTGACATGAGAGGAAGCTCCGCCTTGTGGGTGGTGAGGTTACCATCAGCAGCAGCAGTAAACAAAGCACTAAGCTTCCTCTCTTGTGTTCCATAAGGATGTAACTTTATATTTATAGATCTATTTTTTTTTACTATTAATCACACTGTGTTCTTGAGTCGTGCATAATATCCTTCTTATCGAGTTCTTCGTCAGTTATCAGAAAACACAAAAAGGAAAAAACCCAGGTGGCGTTTACTGACATCTTGACAGACTCGTAATACAATGATCAAATTATATCACCGGCATACTCTAAAAGACCAGTTTCTCATGACAAAATGGGATGCCGTAATGGTTTTTTATCTATTTGGTTTCTGCATCAATGAGAGCCTCGTGGGCCACTCAGGGCCTTGCTGGCCACCAGGGAAGTCAACAAAACACAAAGGAGGGGACAGAGTGACGGCACAGTGTGGGGGGAGGTAGGGTAGAGCCGACACACTGTCGGCCGAGGGGACTTGTCTACAACTACCACAGTGTCTCACATGGTTGCCGCCCGATGCTACCACACACAGCCCCGCCCATACGAGTTTCCACAGCTCGTTGTAAACCTCCACCAGTACATGACAAAAAAGAAAAAGAAAGAAGAACTGATGAGGTTTATAACTAGCATATAAAAGCATGAAAGATGAAGGTAGCCTGAGACAAGGGCGAGCAACCATCTGGACAGTTCCCCCCCACACTGCACCAGGAGGGGGACGAGGCACCCCTATAGAACGGTCTTAGGCGTTCTTACTTTTAACCGTGAGCATGGCGGAGGTCTCGGCTTGTCCCGCAGAGTTGGTGGCCCTGCAGGTGAAGGTGCCAGTGTCCTCAGGATACGTCTCTTTGATATCTAGGACGGCCGTGTTGCCCTCCATGAACATCTGTAGAGACACAAACACAAGGTGGTCATTATTTACCTGCCTGAACCTACAGTAACTTACAGGTGCCAAATCTAAAGTAACTTATGTGAAGAAAAAAAAACACGTGGTCACAATAAGCCATCAACCAGTTAACTACAAGAACCAACAGTATCTTACAGTTTGAGAACAAAATATGACTCGCCAAGAGAAACTGAATATTGCAAACAAATGCACAATCTGTCTACAGTACCTGACGTTGATTACTAAACAACGTATCCTTACGGTTTACAGTTTAATTCACCTGTAACGTAAAATAAAGACACGTTACAGGTGAATTTTACTTTCGCTCAAATTCTTCCCTACATTCTACAGTAGTTCTAAACACCAGTGCCGCTAACATTTCATTAAACTCAAGTAGTAGCCTAATCGCTCTCACCATAACTCATTGCCCAGAATGTCTCATATTTCTACCACTATAATACTCTTCCTAAAATATCTCGGTGTTCAGTGATATTAATACCTCAGTTTTACTATGATATTAATCGAATGTTAATAAAAAAATTGATGTAAAAAATACAACGGTGTTTAATATCAGGAGGCAAGAACGATAATAAAAGGTTGTGTAGTGTCAAGATCTGTTATTGGAACAGGTCGAGACGTGGCTGTAACATTACACCGCGTAAACAGCAGAGGAGGATGTCGAGATCTATGAATATTAACGACTTGGAAGCTCGAGATAAAATTGTGTTGCTAGTTACTACCTCCATTACGTTCTGATAATCGTGGAGTTAACGACCTTCACACCAAGAAGAAAGCTTGAATACTTGAGGACGAGTGACTGTAAACAACATAATGTAATGGGATATTTATCGGTAACAACTGTCAGGTTTGCCAACACAAACTCGTAAATAGCAAAGGGATTTTTTCTCTACAGTTTACGAACTGGCAACATTGTTACTGCCTACAACAAGTTCAAAGGAGAAACTTATTTAATATATACATAAAACGTACACCTCATCAACACCCATCTAAACAATAACACTGTGGTTTATATATATATATATATATATATATATATATATATATATATATATATATATATATATATATATATATATATATATATATATGTTAACTTTATCAGCACAACGACCTTGAGGGCACAAGGGCCTGCAGTGCCCCGCCCCCAGCACCTGGTGAAACAGAACTCTCAACCCGGAGTACGGTATATGATATCAGGGGGGCGTGCTGTAGGGTTGTGGTAATGGTCACGGCCTGAAGGACCCCAGGTGTTGCTGCCTCACTGAGCCTTACTTATCACCCTCTGCCAGTGTGGAAAATATTCTGGTGATGTTTGTGTTCTGGTTCAGAAATATCTATGAACAGAGGGTTTGGTGGGAGCATTTAAGACAACTCTTTACACCGTAACTAACGTCAGTCACCAAATGTTGCAAATAAACTCGATCAAGGCACAGTAAAAATTGTCGTCAGGAATACGGAATAAAATTTATCAATCTTTACTTTAAAGTAATTATGAAAAATGAAATAAAATCTTTCAAATGTTACTAAAAACCATTATCATATTTATTAAATAAAATTTATACGATCTTTCAGATTTAAAAAAAAAACTTTCTTTTAAAACTTGAGACAATGGATGAAAGCGAGAAAACCGTAACAGTTGACAAAAGTGATGTTGGTCAGTTATGTCTTGACTGAGGGAGTTCACCAGTCAGAACCATTGAGCGCCGTCCACTAGATCTCACAGGAAAGGCTTGAACAACGTGTCACAGAACGAAGCTTAAACTGACCATGAGTGACAACTACGGATAGATCTAGTCCAGGATAGTATTGACTAAGGTGAGGCGACGAAGATGAGAGTTCCTGAAGTACTGAATGGATGTGAGCGTAGAGGTGTTGAGTGAATATCTGATGTATAAAGGAGTGTTATGCCAGGCCACGAGAGTTGGCTCCGTCTGTAGCGAGACATTAAACTTTAATTATCTCTCTGCAAATAGACTTTTAAATCCTGCTGACATTTAGTTATTTCAAACATTAAATTTAAGCCCAGTGTGCGTGTGTGTGTATCCTTTCAATGTGTGTGTGTGTGCGTGTGTACCATCGCATAAAGCAACTAAATGGTCCTTGAAGCATATCTTATCTTACGCATAAAAAAAAACATTCCTACACCAAACACATTTTCGTCAGCAATAGTTTTTTTCTCTCGTATAGTGACGTAAGAACAAACACTCCTGGCTCTGCTGGAATACATCCCAGGGGAATAAAATCTCAGTTCTTGATGAAAATTACAATAATATATACTGATTTATATCTTTGTTCTGAGCAAGACGAAAAACAGATGGCGACATCCAGTTGCTTGGGCGAGGAGGTTTCCCTGGTGGGAGGTTAATATAGTGTAGTTGGCGTGAAGGAGGTTGAGTTTGGCAGGTGGCCGGGGGGCGCCGAGGAGACGGAATAAAAGAACAAAGACTAAGAATTACTACACCGTTACTCTTGTTGTTGGCACCTCCAGGCAACAGCACAAAAGAAACGTATTTGTAACCACATTTAAATCTACATGTTGGTGGTAAATGACTGCAGGTGGTCTCATCAAGGTTAAAGAGCAACATAACACGAAAGCAAAACCTGACGGCGTGACTGGCAACACTACAGTAGAGGCGGGAAATAACAGTTTAGCCTCGTAAACACTTTATCCACTCAAGTTTTACAAGCATTAAAATAACTGTAATTAGGATATAATAAAGACTCCGTTTATTTACCTACCTAACCTAACCTAACCTACTTCAATATGACCTTTGTGAATTCGAGCCAGGAATCTTTATTGGTGGGTCATCATAACACTCAGACTTTACAATATTATTCTCAAAAATAAACTTAATCCTAAAGTGAATGATTTCAGTCAAGTACAGTAGAATATTTTTGTAGATGCAGTAAAAAGAATAACGACCAAAGTTACCAAGTGTGTGTGTGTGTGTGTGTGTGTGTGTGTGTGTGTGTGTGTGTGTGTGTGTGTGTGTGTGTGTGTGTGTGTGTGTGTGTGTGTGTGTGTGTGTGTGTGTGTGTGTGTGTGTGAGTGTGTGTGTGTGTGTGTGTGTGTGTATTATAAACCCCAAAATCAGCGATCTGTCTCATCCTTAAACAAAAATAATCAAGACCAGAAGCAGCATCGTGTCACCTCAAAAGAATTGCAATTAAAAGGATTAAGAATCAATAGTGTTGTTGTGACGCTTGAGAATGAACAAGGTGTTGTGTAAGAGTGGATGAGATCACAGGTGAGGTGCCAAGTGCGTAACACCACTGACGAGCTGACACACACCTAACCCTGAATCACCTCCTAATTCACAAAGGTTCGTACGATGACTAATCCTCGTAAGTGAAGATGTAATAATGACTCACAGGTTGATTTATTATACTATACAATAGAAACATCTAAATTTGTCATAAAAATAACTAGATACTGTATGTTCAAATAAAATTAGTAAGCAGCCAAAATTAACATATAGAATATTTCTGTACCCAAATTTCACCTCGTAGCTGCCTCAGTATTGTACAGTTAAAATATCTCGTCAAGGTAGAGCCTAAGTGTAATAATGATGGTATTTTGGGATATTAATTTTGTGTTTCGGCTGAATTAAAACAGATTAGGTGGTCTTTTGGGTCTTTACTCACAAGGATATTTACCCTACGAACTACTATGACTCACGATCTAGTTCTGTAATATTTACGGTCGCTCACCGCTGTAGGGTGTTGCCTCTCTCAGCCTGCTGACAGAGTTATGTCTGCTCTGTCAGGGAGACATCACAGATTGATTTACCGTCTGTAACTGTCACGTATCTGGGTTATTGTACCAGTGATAGACAAAGACGAGTGTTTAGTTATTGCATATGACCTTAAAGGATTTAAGCTTTTATCCTTGGGTGGGCGGCCTTTTTGTTCAGTGTTTACCATTACGTGTATACCTGCAGCCTCTGTATGTACATGCTGAGCCCTATGTGAATTTGTATGGCAATTTTACTGAATACTGCACTACATTACACTGTATCTCTCTTATCTTCAGATATTAATATTTCTACATCAACTCATTAATATGTTTGATAAGCTTAAATGGTGGTCTCTTGTGTGGTGTGTCTGTATAATAAAGAAGGTACCACAGTACACATACACTGTGTGGTAAAATGAGATTTCTCCTAAATTTCTTGGTATGAGGTGAGCAGCAGCCTGCCCCCCTCACTGACAGCTCACAGATAAACTGCCGGGTCCCTAATGGCCACCTGCCCTCCTGCTTTTATTAGTCCACCTGCTATTTTTTTTTAATTCCATATCAACAACTGATTTAACTGTACACTAAACAGTTAAAACTATTAAATGCTCTATTGTTATTATTCAATTTCAACGACTGAAACGAAGAAACAACATGGTATATGACCCTTCTTTTTAATCCATTCTCTGTGGCGTCTTGGTTATTATGAACCTGGTCTTGGTCTAGTTATTACCCAACCTTTATCAGTTTTACAAATATCTTAGTTATGCAAATTTTAACTCATCAAGGATTTTCGTGACGTTGTATTCAAGCGCACGTATAAACAGACAAAAGGAGAACATTGCAATAACACCTCAGTACCGATAAGCTAAAATCTGTTGTGTACTGTATATTCGTCCGCAATATTCCTTCTCTTGGGGAGTCATATTTGTAAAAAAAAAAAAAAGATAACTAACAATTTATCATTCTATTTCCATTTTTCATTTGAACTTTGTATATACGATAGACAACTATACAAGACATTAAGCAATTCTAATTATCTTTCATCCACCATGCGAGATAGTGTGCTGTACTGACCTCAAAGTCCCGGGAGTTAGGGATAAGCGCGCCTTCACGGTACCACTGGACGCTGGGCATGGGACTACCCACAACCACTGTGTTGAAGCGGACGCCACTTCTCTCAGATACCGTCACTGGTTCAAGAGGGGCCACAGAGGGGGCCACTTCTGCCTGCTGAGGCTGTACTACCTGGAGCTTCGCCTCCACCGTGCACTGAGGACACAGTAAATGAACTTGTTAGTCGTACTCTCATTATTTACACATATTGAACTCTTCTCTTATTAAGGTAATGTATACATAACAGATCCTACCTACCCTATTTACTGTCCTTATTACATAATGAGCTCGTCATGTCCTTATGTCTAAGCGACTCTGTAATTTCCTTAACTCTAGGTGACCTTTATTGCACTTTTGTTTAGAATATTTTAATAAAAATCATCCCTATCTGATCTTCGTATATTTAGAGAATTATCTACCTTTAATATATTACAAGAAGGAGCAGGTAAGATATGGTTAGTTACCTTGCCGGAGGGATTAGTGGCGACGAAGTAGTAGGTGCCCTCGTCCTCAGGGAAGGCCTCGGAAATACGTAGACAGTAACGGTCACCATCAGTTGTCATGGTGAAGTATTTACTCTGCTTAATAGGCTGTTTGCCCTTCAGCCACTGAATCTTGGGCTCTGTGGATAGAGGGGAAACACAGGGGGTTATAGTATGTTCAGACGATTACACTGTATATACACACCATGATTCTACTCCAATCATCTTTGTGCTGTCTTAATTAACTCTCACAAATTTTGCAACTCTCAGGGACCACAACTTTTAATTTTATTCATCCATCCTGGTCTCCCCCTATCTTTGGCCTACCTACTCTCAATTTTAACCAGTAATATTCCATAGTTAACTCCTCATCCCTAATTATACCTTATTTTTCTTATTCTATAAATTTCCAGAAGCTATTTCTTTCGTTGCGCTAATTAATCATAGTACAGTACCTCTTAATTTGTAATTAACATATATTTTTTTTAAATAAGTCTCTTTGGTAGCTAACCTTGATGACGGTAGGTATAACACAAGTGAGCAGTACTTACTGGGCGAGGAGGTGATGACACACTCGAAGGATGCGCCCTGTCCCTCCTGCACAGATTGAGACTTGAGTTTCTGTACAATTGTTGGGGCCTGAGGCGCTCCTCCTGGCGTGGTTGGGGTTTGTGCGGGACGAGGACCCACCACTTCGACAGTGGCCTGGCAACGGGCTTCACCTGCCTTGTTGATGGCCACACACTCGTATGAGGCGCTATCCTCCGGCACCGCTTCCGTGATCAGCAGTGTATACATGTCATCCTCAAGCATCATCTTGTAGTGCATGCCTTGGACAAGCTTACGGCCATTCTTCAGCCAGTAGGTGTCTATAGGTGGTGTGCCATGGATCTTGGCTTCAAGTCGCACTAGATGACCTGGACTGCCTTGGATGTCCTGGATGGTCTGAGAGAAGCTGGGTGGCACTACGCCTCCACGGCTCATTTTACGCTCAGCCACCACCAAGTTCGCAGAACACTTGGCGCGACCTCCGCGGTTTTCGGCTACACAGGCAAACACTCCAGAGTCTTCCATGAACACTTCACGGATTATCAGAATACTCTTATCACCGAAAGTGTGAATCTGGAAGTCTGGAGAGCTGGTGATGAGGAAGTCCTCACGGTACCACTGAACAGTGGGGTTTGGTTCACCATCAAACTCGACCTGGAAGCGGGCTGGCTCTCTCTCGTAGGATCGGCATGGCTGGATCTTCTTGGTGAAGAATGGAGGCTTAGCTGGCTTCTGAGGCTGACCCTGGACCAGACGCTCCGTGGTCTTGCCTGTGTGCTCCATCTCGGTCTTCTCTGTGGCTGTAATTTTACGGTGGATCTCCAGATCTCCCTGGACCTCTTTCTGCGTTTGTTTTTGTGTGGATGTGTGGATCTAAACAAAAGAAAAAATTAATGAACCATTTACCTTAATACATATATTGACCGATACAACAATTACAAAAGTTTTAGTTCAGTGTTTAACCTGGATTATTTATTTATTTCATGATAAAAATGGTTTTAAGCACACAGGCTAAGCTACAGTATATGCTGGAGGCCAGCTGACCCACCTCCTTGCCGTGGACGACAGACTCGCTAGGCTCCGCCTCACGCTGTAGCAGTGTTTCCTCATCGTGACGCACGTCCTTGGTGTCCCTAAGAACACACACCAAGTTTAATTTGATTCGTATTTTTTTTTCTAAAATAAAATATATAGTTTCCTTCCCTGTAAGATAATATACTGTACACATCTAAAGCGTAATTCAACAGAATAATCCAGGGTGACAGTTGGTGTCGTTCAGTTAGCTAAACTAATATACTTCTCAGACTTCCATGGTCTGTCGCCTGTGCTCGCTTAAAGAAAAAAATAAAATTTAGGAAACTATATTTCAGAAATTATGAAAACCAAACAATGATGTCGTACTTATTTAAATATGTTATATTTTTTAGTATAGAACAAAACACACAAGTTGTAAGAGAAACACTGTAAGGAAACTCACAGGACCTGGTGATACACTGAGACAACCACAGTACTGTACTGACACTTTCTAAGACGATTCTCTGAACAATGTACAGCTGTTTATAAAGACAAGGTCACTTCCTGGACCTTCATCCTTACACAACAACTTCTCATTCCAAAGAGACACATCCCATCCGAGGTGAAGTGAAGTGTGTATTATTCGCCTTCAACACAACTACTGTGGGGGCAGGTGACACACGCCCACCAGACTGTGTTCAGGTCTGGTTTACTCTCGACACAGATCACCACCAAACAGTGTCTGCCCAGTCATATTATCAACGACTTAAAGGACCATATCAGAGCTGACATGATACTCTCTTTAAAACATGTATGTATGTATGTATGTATGTATGTATGTATGTATGTGAAGAGTGTGTCTATGGGCCTATAATATATCACTCCAGATCTGAACACCTGAACTTAAGACAAGAGTTCAGGTGAGATGGGAGACATTCCATCTTCTCAACACACCTAAAATTTTGTCCATGTTTAAGTGGGTAAGTTAATTAATTTTGAAGCCCATAGACCCTCTTGTTTACTTACAATACACAGGTTCCAAAAACAGTATCATGCCAGTACTGACCAGCCCTGACCAGCCTTGACCAGCCCTGACCAGCCTTGACCAGCCTTGACCAGCCCTGACCAGCCTTGACCAGCCCTGACCAGCCTTGACCAGCCTTGACCAGCCCTGACCAGCCTTGACCATGAGCTTCTCCTCGTACTAAACACCTCAAGCATCTGTCTGTCTAGTAGTTGGAACGTGAACTAAACAAACTTCTACACAGGGTGACTCACTCGCTGGTAGCCTCTGAGTATCATTAATATATATCCTGTATCGATGATATTTTAACTTTTTATGGATATTATCAGTCAAGTTGTTGTTGTTGTTATACTGTCGAGTGTTTATTGTCTCATAAATAATGGTTATATTAACAAGACTCGGGGCTACCAACGAGTGAATCACCCAAATGTGGTTGATAATATGAGGGGGGGAATATACCACATTAAACAACATATTGTGAACAGTTATTGTGAAAGGAAAATATTACTTAATTTCCATAGTAAAAGAAGTCACTCTACAGGAGCCATAAGCCAACACTACGAAGCTGTTTTATGCCTGTTGTTAAATATACCGAGTGGATTATGAATTAAAAGACCAAATAAAAAATAAATAATATGGCTTAATACTACGAGCTGCATTAACGTTAGGTGTGACTGCAGGGGTGTGAGGATGGGTGGCATGATAAGGTTTCTGGTCCAACGCGTGTACAGGAGGACGCATCTCTCTCACACAACCCAGATGAATCCTCGTACATAGGACTTTATAGAAGTTACGCTGAAGGCTCACAGGTGACTAGTGACTGTACATCCCAAACCACATTGTGCATGTCTCCTGTACACACACACACACACACACACACACACACACACAGAGTTTAAAACAGTATCTTGCCAGTTTTAAATCCCTGAAGTGACCCCTCAGTCCATTACAGAAAAATGAGAAAAGAATAAATAAGAAATAATAACCGAAAATCATTAAAGAAAATAAATGTAAACAAGAAATCATAATCAATGCAGAACCTGAAAATTATCTTGAGAAAGCAAATGAAATATAAACAAAAATACAATCAATAAATTAAGTTATAAAAAGAAGCAGAGGTGATACAAGGAGGAGGGGAGGGGGTTAAAGTATTGTGGTGGTGTGCTACCTTAACACCCGCTTAGGTGGCTTAGGAACGTCGGGCTTCTTCGAGTCAACAACATCTGAGTCGCTGTTGGGAGGTCAATAACCAGGTGAGAATGTATTAGTACAGACCTAGAGGTATACGCTAGCCAAGTTAGTAGTGACTCCCGAACATTACTGAAGAGAACTGTTTGTAGAGTCTTACAGATAAGGTAGTGAAGTGCAACTATTAGATAATCATTGTACAGTAGTCTGGAGAAGGATATGTTGAGAGTATAATGACTAAATGAATATATATCATACTTATAAAAGATTGAGAGAAGAGAATGTTGAAAATTTTGTATTTTTGACAGATCTAAAGTCTACAGTATACAGCAGTTGGCAGCTACAGTGTAAAGAAGTGTGAGTATCTAAGGGCACAAGTAGAATCAATAGGCTCCTAGAGTAACCCCGTGTAGGAGGAGCCTGGCGTCAGTCCCTGTAAGAGGGTCATGAATAGCTTTGTGTGTGTGTGTGTGTGTGTGTACTTACAACTGTTCCTCGTAGCGGGAAGCCATGCCCCGGGCGAGGGAGTGCTGGGCAGCATACTCGGCGGGGGAGGCAAACATGTGCGCCTCCTTACTACGTCCCTTCGTCCTCTGTGAGTCCTCAAGCTACGACAAGAGGTAAAATATGGTTAATTACATGACTGCTATCCATTAATCTGTAAAGCTGTCTGTCTGTCTGACTACTGTTTCAACCAGACTTATTCAACTTACAATAAATTGGGACACATCACATGTACTGTATAGGTAGATAAATTGTGGAAATAATTGGCCCACATTACCATTATAGTAAAATTATTCCATAGGGGATTTCTAAGAAAATTTAAATAAAAAGGCCATTGCTCTGACGTCCACATTTTGTATTACGAAAATATAATTGTGAAATGACAAAACTTTGCACAGTAATAATATGTAAGAAACTAAAGTGTAACAGTACAGTAATATACAACAAGGCAAGTCAAACAGGCGAGGACTACCAACAGAAGTGACCGACTGCTCGACTGGTTAGTTAAGAGAATAAACATTAAGAAGAAATAAAGAGAAAGGCTCACCTGCTTGATCTTCTCACCAGCATTCTTCTGTCTGGCCAGTTTCTGCCACTCAATCTCCTCAGACTTGTCAAGTGGTTTGGCCATGTACTCTCCAAATTTAGACTCATGAAGGATCGAGTAATCAGAGTCAATTTTCTCCTCAAAGACACGTTCAAGTTCGGTGTCCTGGCGCTCCTTCTGGTAACTCTTGAGGTCATAGTCATACCAGGCTACAAAAACAGCAAGTGTTAAGCCCAACCCTCCCGCCAGCACGGTAGGGCGCATGCGCAAGCCACCACCGAATTCTGGCTAACAGGACAAGTAACTAACGGGGTATTAAACAGGAAATACAACCAGGGTGACTGGTGCATCTAACAAGTGACTGGAGGAACTAAGGGAGGACTAACTGTTCTAAAGGTGGCAAGTGCAGCACACAGGTCAACAAAGGTGGCAATACTTTATCAACAGGTCATGGCAAAGTGTCAAGTTGAAATACAAGTGTGACTGGGAATATATTACAAGAGGTATATGTACTCAGGAATACAGTACTGTTGTTTCATTGATGGTGATTAATTCTGAGAAGAAATAATTCCTGTGGCAAAACATGAACATGTACAGTATACAGTATATGAACAACATGCAATGGGTATAAACATTACAAAGTGAAAAGTAACATAGAGCAATACTTACAACTTGGTCAGTTCTATATTATTAGAAAACTGGGGCAGGAATGAGAGGCCTTATACAGCAGGGCTTTACTGGTACATCTAGTGGGTTACAGAGTTAGGGGTGCACGTGGGGAGGACGGAACTAAAATGTTGGGCGCAACTAAATCTTGACGAGGACCTAACGGAAACAACGGCTCTCACGCAACATGCCTCAACTCTTACCTTGACGAACTTACCAAATAATAACAGTGCAGAGTAAAATGAAGAAATAAAAATAACTCTTGTTGGGGAAACTGAAAATTAGTTAGTTTAAAGTGGCGTCGTGGTAGTACAGTACTTAGTGTTGTTGCTTAATACTGCAGTGTTACAACAGTTGGTAAGTGTAGCGCGTTGGTGTTAGCTGTGACTGTGAAGAGCGAGTGGCTGTCTGGTCCACCCACACCACCAGCGGCATCAGTGTGACACGCACGCCAGAACCACCCCGGCGGGTTAAGGCGCCAGTCCGCAAAGGTCAGTACTGACATGCGGGTCAACTGTCGCCTTGAAGGTCAGGTAGAAGGCGTACAGTCAACCAGAAAATGTTCCTTATGATACAAAGTAATGAAGTGAAGTGGATATGTAAGAGCGATGTATGAGGCCTCCACTGCATCATAGGCTGTTGATCAACCATCCCAGTGACCTGAAAAAGACCTTGATGACTTGAAGATGAAAATGATTCCTTGTCAGTATGTGAGCAGGAGTGAGGCGGTGAGAGAATGAAGAACCAATGAAAGGAAACTTTGGACGGAGGTAGCAACCCCAAGTAAGACGAGGTCACTCTTGCTGTTGTGGCAACAACAGATGTGATCCTCATGTACTCTTGAGCATTACAGCCTGCAGCCCCGAGTCTCCGGCTAGCCTGGTACAGGCAAGGCAGACTTACGTTTCGGTGAGTTCTTGAGGACGGCGCGGTAATCGTCCTGTCGAGGATTCACCTTGAGCTCACAGCAGGCATAGCTCTCACCAAGGGAGTTGCGACAGATGACCTCCACCTTGCCGTTGTCATATTGACGAGTCTTGGGAATGTCCAGATGGTACATGCCGTCATACCAGATCTTGAAGCGATTACCCTGAGAGGAAGAGGAAGATGTACGCCATCAACAACAACTGTTAAATGAGTCATAATCTGCTAATTCTCACATGACAATTAGTCTTTTTCTATGATCACCTACATAAGATTAACCTGTTAAGAACGTTCCTTCTAAGATGATACAAATTCTCAAGAACACGAGAACACAGTTAAAGAGGAAGTGTTTGTGATACTCACACTCATGGCGGTGGAACCGTTCACGATCCACATGACTCTGGGTCTTGGGTGACCCGAGACACGGATGCTGAAGCGGGCCCAGTCTCCTTCCTGTACCATCAGGCTCTCCGGCTTCTTCAGCACCTCGGGTTTGGTGCGCGGCTTGTCCTCATCAACAATGGACTCGGGGGCACTGTCGAACAATATTTACAATGACTAATGTAAATTACCTTTCATGGAATTTTTTTTTACCGGTTTTTTATTGAAATAAAAGCTTATTATCATAGAATGAATGACAGTAAATATACTCTTTAAATAACTTGCCACGTGTCCATATTATAAATATTTCATCCTATTGAGATCATGCTTCGAAGTATGCAATCATGGGTGAATACACTTACAATACTAATCTATATAAGTACGACAAAAACTGCAGTACTGTATAGGTACTCAGTAACAATGTTAACACTATCTCACTTGCTTCTGTACTCTGTTACACTTTGCTTTGATCTCCTCATCGTGTTTTATATTACACATCGTCTAATTACTAAGAATTTCTCTACAATTTAATCATTCAATCTTCCCGCATCCACAGTACTTCCATTATTTATCAAACACTCTAAGACATTTCATCTTCTTTCATTCAAACCAAATAACTGTAATAAACGTTATACCATACGTACTGTAATTCCAAACATTTCTCTCTAAGCCTAAGGGAAAGCAAGATACTAAAATGGGTTTCCTTAAACTTTTCTTCAATCTTCTTCAATCTCATGAGACTATGGGAATCAACTCACATCTGCCAAGCAGCTTCTAGTTCCCTGATCTTCTCGAGGGACTGCATGCCCTTAGGGATCTGTGACTCATAGATGACGCCAGGACGGCCGGTAGCCTTCAGGGTGGCCCTGGTCTCGTCCATACCCCACAGGTTGGTTGCCCTACACAGGTATTCACCAGAGTCTTCGCCAAATATCCAATTCATATTGAGAGCAACGTAGCCGAAGTCGTAAATGGGAGTGAAGCGGTTCTCTGTTCATAAATAAAATATTGTTTCAATTAAGAATTTAGGTACAAAAATCCCGTTTATAATATTATACTTGAATTGCATGGATTAAAAATACTACTGAGAAAAGGTTACATAATAAGTCAGGATAATTACTGTAAGGCAGTGGACGACCGTTGAAGAACCATTCCACCTTCATGTTGGGATCACCAACAGGCGCCAACTGGCAGTCAAATTTGGTTTCTTCCATTTCCTTAAGGTCTTTTACATCCTTAATTTGTGTCACAAAGCGAGGAGGTTGTCTCTTCTCGGGTTCATAAATATCTTCCTGTGTGAGCATGACTTCCTTACAGTACTTCTTGAGGGTCTCCTCCATCTGGGAGACGAAGTCCAGGCCACTCTTCATGCCCTTAGGAACCTGCGACATTAGCACCACCGACTGGCTTGCTGTTTGCATTAAAAAAATAATAATTATTAATTTATTTTACCTATACTGCATGCGTCATTATAATAAAGATATAAAACTATGATGGAGTGAAGATAAATGACCAAATTGTTCAAAACAAATACTAACCCTTGGACTTTAGTGTTGCCCTTGTGAAGTCTTCACCAAGCTTGTTGTAAGCACGGCAAACATATTCACCGGAGTCCTCAGCGTAGGTGTGGAGCAACTCCAGAGTTACATGACCCATCTCAAAGCTTGTTCTGAAGCGATGACCTGACTGCAGAACTTTGCCATTGAAGTACCACTCAATGTGAAGGTTGGGATCATTGCGAGGTTCAACTCGGGCTTCAAAGAAGGCACGTTCACCCTCCTGCAAGCTCTGGCTCTTGATGGGAACAGTAAACTTGGGAGGCACCATTTCAACATCGGCATCGAATTTCTCGGTGAGAGGACCACGTTCCAACTCCTTCAACTTTTCAGCAGTCATACCTTGTGGTAGCTGTGTGCTGAGGTCAACGCCATGCTTAAAGCGAACATTGAGCATGGCTTTGGTCGTTGCCTGGCCCCACTTGTTGGTGGCACGGCAGATGTACTCACCTGTGTCACGGGCGAATGTCCATTCCAGATCAAGCACAACAAAACCGAAGTCATCCATCATATGTACACGAGATCCAGCTGCAAGAGGCATACCATTATGGAACCATTCAATTCGCATGGTAGAGTCTCCAACAGGTTCCACACGACAGTCAAAGTGAGCTGGCTGGCCTTCAACTAAGTCGTTAATATCCTCGAGGTTGGTGACGAAGCGTGGAGGGAAAGCCTTTTCCTCCTCTTGACCAACATCCTCCTTCTTGTACTTGTTCTCCTCCAATTTCTGAATAGCCTCGGTCAAATTACCGAATTTGCCAGTCGCCTGTGGGTCCAAGACGATACCGCTCTTGGTGGACACATTTAACTTGCATTCAACAGATGCTTCTCCATGCTTGTTCATGGCTCTGCACGTGTAGGTGCCAGCATCCTTACCATAACAGTTAGCCATTTCGAGGATGACATAACCAAAGTCATTGATGGTCTTGATGCGGGAACCAGCACTCAGGGCGCGACCATTGTGGTACCAATCAACACGGAGATTTGGATCATTAACTGGCAAGAGGCGGCACTCAAAGTGTGCCAAACCATTTTCTGGAATACTTGAATCTTGAGGCTGTGTAACGAACTGGGGTGGCTGTCCAGCATCAGATGGTGTGCCCAAATCAGGAGACTTGATCATAAGACCCTCCAGCTCAGCAATCCTCTCCATGCCCTTCTGCATGGACTTGGGCAGTTGACTTTCTAGAATGATGGACCGCTTGCCTTCACACTTAAGTGTGGCCTTAGTGACGGCCTCACCATAGTCGTTGAATGCTCGGCACATATACTCACCAGAGTCTTCAGGGTAAATAGGGGATATTTCCATGATAACAAAGCCAAAGTCACAGAACTGGCGGATGCGAGAACTGTACTTCATGGGCTTGCCATTCCAGTACCATTCAACCTTCAGACGAGGATCATCTGTAGGCACCAGACGGGCCTCAAAGTGAGCATTTTCACCCTCCTTCATGCTGTCAATATTGCTTAGAGGAACAGTGAACTTAGGCGCCATGCCAACCCTCTCAGATGTAACAGAGTCGCGACGCATCCAGGCTGAATCCTCCAATGTTTGGAGCTTCTGCAAGCCTCCTTCCATTCCCTTTGGCACTTGGGGCGTCAAAATGAGGTTTGTCTTGCTCATGCACTTGAGGCTAGACGTGGTCTTATCCTCACCCAATTTGTTGACAGCCCGAGCCTCATACTCGCCTGAATCTTCTTCATAGCAGTAGAGAATGTCAAGAATGACAATTCCAAAGTCATGGAAGGTCCTGTAGCGATGTCCAGAAGGCAATTTCTTACCATTTTTGTACCATTCCACAACGAGGTTGGGATCGTTCACAGGCTTCAGACGAGCCTCAAAGTGAGCACTCTGGCCTTCTACCATTCGGTCGATGTTGCTGATCTGGGTGATAAACTTAGGTGGTTCAGCAGCTGAAGGTGTTGTAGGAGCTCTAAGTGATGTCTTGTGGCCCTCCAGAGCAGCAATCTTATCAAGAGAAGCGGGTTGTAGTGAGTCGGTGTAAACTCCTCCCATGCCGAAGCAGTTAAGATGTGCCTTAGTTGTGTCTTGACCATACTTGTTGGTGGCCTTACACAGCCACTCTCCAGCATCATGGTTCTGTAGGTAAGCAATATCTAGCACCACGAAGCCGAAGTCACTGACGGTCTTGATACGAGTAGCATTACGCAGAGGCTGGCCATTATGGAACCATTCTACCTTCATGTTGGGGTCACCAATGGGGATCAGAGTACACTCAAAGTGAGCAGAATCACCATCCTTGAGGCCTTCCAGGCTCTGAACTTGGGTGGTGAATTTTGGTGGCTGACCATGGGCACGGTCAACACACTCCAAGGTGACTGAGCATTCTGCCTTGCCCCACTTGTTATGAGCACGGCAAGTGTATTCTCCACTATCAGCGATCTGTGAAGAAAACACGTAAATGAATTAAGGATGATACGTTAACTTCACCTAATAATTAGTTTTCTCAAATGTGTTCATCTCACAAAGTCGCTGGTTTATTTATTTGCAATATAAAACAATAGGCTCAAGAAAGACTGACCTTTGTTCCTAAGACCTCGAGTACAACCATTCCGAAAGCATAGACGGTGCGGACCCTGTGGGACGCCTTGAGAGGCTCACCGTTGAAGAACCATTCTACCCTCATGGACTGGTCGCCCACAGGAGTTAACATCGCCTCAAAGTGAGCAATCTCACCCTCTTCCAGGTTGCTCAGATTCTGCCAACAAATTTGCAATTGATCAGTTTATGTATTTTTACAGTAGTGTTTAATATAAATGTGACATTTATAAGACATTGTACTCAAAAATATTTTTGCCAGCCAAAAGTGTAATGAGTGTTGTAAGTTGTAGTGAGTTACCTTGAAAGGTACAGTGAAGACAGGTGGGTGACCCTCTTCGTCTGGCAGCTCGCGGTCAGCACGACGCAAGTTCTTCTCCTCCATAAGCTGGTGACACAAGTTCTTGCATTAAGATCAACATTAATGATTTTCACAGTTTTTTTATAAAATAAAGATTTTCACAATTCTATAAGAATAAGGAAAGACCCACAAGCATAATGATTTAGATGAACCCCCCCCCCAAAAAAAAAAATATAGGCCTATATATATATATTACTGTACAATATTTTAACAACAGTAAATTTAAAAAAAAAATCACTAGATATTATGACTCACCTGGATGGCTTCAAGGCCAGCCTCGCCTGCTGGGTGTTGGGTGCTCTCGATGAGTGCTTCCTTACTACCCACCACAACTGTAGACGTGCAGAAGGCCTCGCCAGCCTGCAACACACAATATTTACACAGTTACCACTCATGTTTATTACACCAAGGTAGAGTACTAAGCATAATATTGTTAGTTCAGTAACTTGAAAGTGATATTTAAGGACTTTCTTTACTGTAACAAACCACAAGCCATGCCATAACATCACGTTTCCCTTCAATGAGTAAAATTTAAATAAATCTGGTGAGCACAGTACAGTACAGTACAGTACAGTATATTGTATTCATCTACCACCTTAAATCATGTTTGAGCTCCATCTCTGCTCCACCTATCCCATTCGTAATACAGGTATATATATTATCATGATCATAACCGATGCTGTGCTGTTATTAGTGTACACAAAATGAGTTATTCTAGCGCTGTGTGACTATTCTGGATTATTGGAAGGTAAATAGTATCTTCTGGCCTACAAGTTCGGCTATTCCTGTTTTCAACTTTACATGATATTAATTTAACTACTGACCTTGTTGTAGGCACGGCAGGTGTAGATGCCTTGATCACGCTCGTAGGCATCGTTCAGGTCAAGGGTGACTAGGCCGAAGTCGTAACTGGTTTTGTAGCGTGAAGCCTGTTCTAAGACCTTACCATTCAAGAACCATTCAATCTTAAGGTCTGGGTCTTGCTTGGGCTCCACGTTTGCCTCCATATGCAGAGCCTGGGTGTGAAAGTACATTATTTGATTATGAAGTTTAATGGTCAGGAAAAATTGCTGTAGGGACACTGGTACACTGTAGGAACCCTAATATAATCACAAGCAATACTCAAGTAAAGTAAAACTAACCTGGTTCTCACTGAGAGAGAAATTGGTCTGCAGAGGCCTAACAAAGAAGGGCTTCGGGTAGGTGACATCCCGTTCAGACATCTGCCTCTGGTACTTGGCCCAGTAGGCACGCTCAGCCTCCTCCACCTGGGGTGAACAATAGTGGTTAAATGTGGCATAAGTCTGTGACACAGAAAAATATAAAATAGACTACAACAATATATTTTTTTAAATCACCAGTAACTCTGAGTATACAGGTATACCTGTAGCTATTGTGCTTAACTCACCTTCTCGAGGCCAGCTCTGCCCTGCGGATGCTGGGTGTCGAAGTAGAGGTTGGCCTTGCTGAGACACTTAAGTGTGCCGGTGGTGGAGGCGGAGCCCTTTGAATTGGTGGCGCGGCACATGTAGATACCGGAGTCCTCGGCATAACAATGGGTACAGTCCAGGGACACAAATCCGAAGTCGTAAGTAGCTGCATATCGTGCTGCAGCCTGCATGGGCTTCCCATTGATGAACCATTCTGCATGATGAGTCAAGAAAGAAATGTATTAATTTATGATGCTGTGACAATATTCTCCATAACATATCATCTTTATGTGATAACAGTGTACATGTACTGTTTTTTTTTTTTTTTTCAAAATAAAATTTTCTAAATGTACATACCAATCTTCATGGTTGGGTCTTTGGAAGGTTCGACCCTGCACTCAAAGTGAGCATTATCACCCTCGCGACACTCTACGTTGTTGAGGTGGGAGATGAACACTGGCACATCGTAAGTAGGTTCTTCGGGGGAGCCAGGGCCAGCTGCTGGCTTTTCCAGCTTAGCGATCTTGGAGAGAGCATCAGGGTGCACAGACTCACCAATAAGCCAATCGCGATCTGTAAAGATTGTCATTAATTTTAGTTGTGTGTTCTTTATCACGGAATATTCCAATTTTAGACCTTAAACAGACGGTGCACTAAGTAAATAAAGTTCCTCAGTGGTTGTAAACACAGGCGAAGTATAACACTGCAACATGTTTGGTAGGAAAGTTAGGTGGTACACTGACCGAAGACCTTCACGTTGCAAGTGGAGACGGCCTCGCCCACACGGTTGACGGCCTTACAGGTGTAGATGCCAGAATCGTTCTCACGGAGTCCAGAGATCTCCAGAGTCACATGACCGAAGTCAAACGTACTACGGACACGTGTGCCTGGTAGGGGAGATTTATTACATTTAGTTTACTGTGTAATTTGAAAAGTAAATCAAGCTAAAGAAATTCCAGACATGCCTACTCACAGGACTGTATTCCTCTATAGCTATTTTCGTTTTGGCCTTTTTTTTATTTCAAATCATTCTTAAGGTCTAAAGCAAAACTACAAATTATTTCTAGAGTTGGGTCATTGTTTTCATTATCCTTATTGTTTGAAACTGTGAGAAATATTTACATTATGAATGACCAAAGGCTGTAAATTATCTTGTTTTTTTAGAGAGAGGAAACTGTTTGTTACCAAAGAGTACCCACAGCATCTACTTAATTATCTAAGGGCCCCCAACATGCTTATGTAGAGGCAACCTTCCCTTCGGTGAGAGCAGCTGTAGGATAGGATACTCAGGTCTGTGGGCACTGTACTAGTCACTCTGACCTTAAGATACAGTAATCAGATTTTCTATTCCAGCAAGTAGAATCTGATGTCATGAAAAAGGTGAAAAAGGGTGTCAGATCTCCTCTCTCAGTGACTAGAAGAAGTGACTGTAATGATGAACACGTTATAATCTCCATTCCAGTTGATAATCATGAATTAACAAACTACAACTACAAACATACTACTGTAGTAACTGCATGCTACAAAGCCCTGTCACCCACCACCATCGTCTCTACACTACTACATTAAGTCCCTCCACCTGAAAACAGCAAGTTGTACCTTCATTGTAGGAGCCCACAATTCCTCCGGCGCCTGGCGAAAGTAGGAAGGAAATGATGACGTGATTGTATTGTGATTATTATTACTAAGTCTTTAATTATAACATCTTCGCGGAGAAGACGGCGCTTAAAATTACCTGATGTTCTACCATGCACGCATCATGTCGCAACAGTAACATGTGTGGTGGTCCAGAGAGTTGTAGTCTCCTGCACTCTCACTCTCTGAGCCACAAGAACACACATTAACGTAAACTAACACACATTAACGTAAACTAACACACATTAACGTAAAAACAAATAACATATTATTGTAAAAGATCACAGTAAAGTAGATCCTGTGACTCTTATCAGTCAAGGTGAGAGGACACCAGGCGGCTGTAACACTGCTGTAACTGGGTGTAACTCCTGGGTGTGACTCCTTAACATCAATGACAAACAACTTTCGTCACATCCGCCTGTCATCCATTACTAGTATTTAACACTCTTCTCCATTTTACTTTTTATATCTGGAGAGCATTACGGAGCAACAGTAAAAGCAAAGACACTTGATATGGGCAGCTTATGTCCTTAGAGACTTGCACAATAGTCTACTACCCCTAGTTAGGCCTCATAACCCACCACATTACTGAACCTTTACTGGATCTGCCACTAACAGAACAAGACTCTGGTATAAAACTTTAATTTATGTAGTTATGCAATACAAGAAAAAATATAGGCGTCTTAATTTATTCGCGGACTTTCAAATGGTACTATACACTGTGCAAGTTCTCTCTTGTATATAAGTTAATTAAAGTGCTAAATTTATCAATCAAACTTGTTTTGAATTGTCAGAATCTTTTAATTAGATTCGTGTAGCTGTTGGTCATACAGCAGCCCATAACTGAACCAACACCCCACGCGACATGACACAAACATCAACAACCCAAGTGTGATAAGTATCCCCCACACAACTCACAGTAAAGCAACACAGTAACAACTACTCTCATAAATTACCTCATGTATTAATGTCTCCACATCAAATATTAATTCTAAAATATAACAGACATTTCACTCTTAGAAATTAACACTAAAATAAACACACAAAGCCATAAGGGTGAACAGAAACCCTCCACAGCCACCACTCATGATAATCCTGTACCCCACAAGACAACACACACGACATACCAGTGGCCAGTTGGATTCCATTCTTGAACCACTCGATGCTGAGGTTAGGGTCATGAGCTGGCTGTACCTGGCCCTCGAGACGCACGTTGCCAGCCTCCTGTATGAACATGAACAACAACACTATCAGTCTAATATTTATCAAGCACCGTATTGTTTCTATTACCTCAGTGTGTTTAGATTTCTTCGAGCTGAAGTGTTCAAAGCCTTAGTAAGAGCACGAGAATATATTTCCGTATTAGCTATTAAGACTATGAAAAAAAATGTAGGGTGAGACAAACCAAACCGAGAAGATTACCCCAAGAGATATAAAAAAAAAAGGTCGTCTGGAAATATATCACAAGAGGGCCCTCAGAGGAGCACACCTACTGTAGAGGATTACCCACTATTAAAGAACCCACCTGTAAGCGCTCGTAGCTCTCCAGGTGCTTGGTAAACATAGGCGGCTCCTGCTGCTCGGGGGAGGTTGGGGTCTCGGGCACGCGGTTCCACTGGGTCTCGCGCAGTCGGATTGTCTCCCAGCCGGGGTGCAGAGCGTCGCCCAGGATACTGTCCCTCGCTGTGTTAATAAAACGAACAATTAAAAAACCTCCTTTTGTGATGGTATATAAGTTCTAGTCTTATATGCCATTAAAACCAAGTAAAAAATCAAAACTTTTCTTCTTGTAAAAACCACATAAGCATAATTACACCAAACGACTTCAGAATGTGTCATGCTTAAAGTCTATTTAAACAATATGCATGGGGACTCACCTATGACCCTGGTGGAGCAGGAACTCACAGCCTCGCCAGCCTTATTGATGGCCTTACACATGTATACGCCAGAGTCCTCAGACACACACTGGAGAATGTCCAATGTGACGTAACCGAAGTCATGGGTGGTGGTGAACCTTGAGCCTGAAACAAACATTCACTTCATAGTTCACGTGGGGCCAAATAACAGACACTTATTAAGAATATTTTGAGTGCATACATGTATATAATGCCAACATTTTGATGAGTGACTTATGAGTGTGATCACCACTTACCCATCTTGAGTTCGACACCGTTGCAGTACCACTCGTACCTCATGTTGGAGTCACCAACGGGTACAACACGGCACTCGTAGTGGGCAGTCTGACCTTCCATGACTTGGGAAGGTCCAGTCAATGCAGTGGTAAACACAGGTTTGTCGTACACCTGTTATAAGAAAAAAGCCATTTGTCTAAAAGGTTGAAACACGTGTGGCTGAACTACAGTACATGCAACATAGCTTAGATTCAGCACTTTAATTTTCCTTACTGAAACCATAAACAAATGTACAAAAATCAGAACCATTTGTAAAACAACTAAAATAATCAGTAAAACATAAGTTTCATGGAAGGATTTTACCTTTTCTCCAGCATCATCACGAGCGGCTGGCTTGCGTTCTTCCAGGGCTTGGATCTTCCGCATGCCTTCTGGATGCTGGGTTTCCAGCTGAATGGTGGCATGAGCTGCAGGAGGAAACACAAACATATTGATAATCTAATTACACATCAGACATGGGCGTCTATGTTTTGCAAACTCGATAATTCATAGGTGATAAATATTAATCAATATTACATAAAAGAATCTTTACCTTTAAAAACATTACAGAATGTGGCGTGCACACTCACACACACACACACACGATACAGTGGAAGAGTAGCAGCAGGTACTGTACTTACACTTGATCTTGATGGAGGCAGTGGTAACCGCCTCACCCAGGTCGTTGTAGGCACGACACATGTATATTCCCTCATCGTCAGGACGCACACCAGTGATGTCCAGAGCCACATACCCGAAGTCGTGGGTGCGGTTGATGCGGGAGCCTGAAATTCGGTTAATACGTTATCAACTCAGAAGAGCAAGAATGCGGTGGATATGATTTAGTTATGGCAACATTGTGATTTCAACTTAATGTCACAATGCTCTTAACAGTTTCGTTCAAGACAGAGAGGTAAGGTTGTACTCACTGGTTTCAATAGGTTTCTCATTCCTGAACCATTCCACCTTGAGGTTGGGATCGCCGACAGGAATCAGGCGACACTCGAAGTGGGCTGTCTCGCCCTCCACAAGGTTGTCCAAGTTCTGTAGAGGTTGAGTGAAGACAGGGCGCTGGAAGGTGCGGGTTTCCTCTGAAACCTGAAAATCAAAGAGAAAAACTTTGCAGTCCAGAAAACATGATGGTGTGACGTCATATTCAAATAGTTAGACGGCCTACAGCTGTAAGTGTTCAGGAGAGCTTAAGGAGTGTCACAACACGTGATCACACGATCCAGTTGGTAATATTAACCGACACTGATAAAGAAACTTTTACAAAACACTCGTATTAGTTACTGATCTTCATTAAACTGGACCAAGTTACCTCCGAGGTTAAATAATCAAGCTTAAGGTCTCACCTGGCGGCCCAGACGGGTGCTGTCCTCCAATTGACGGATCTTCTCAAGACCCTCAGGGCGGGCAGACTCATAGATTACGCCCTCCTTGCCCTCCACCTTGAAGGTAATGGATGAAGTTGCCTCACCCATGTGGTTGAAGGCGCGGCAGGTGTACTCGCCAGAGTCCTCGGCGTACACGGTGGTGATATCCAAAGCCACATAGCCAAAGTCAAAGGTAGTATGGAAGCGTGCAGCGGACTGCAAGGCCTTGCCATCATGGTACCATTCAACGCGCATGCTGGGGTCGTGCACGGGTTCAATACGACCCTCCAAGTGTACATGCTGTCCCTCAGACAACAGAGTGTTACCCTGTAAATATAGAGTGAATCATATTATGTTTCCATGTAGGATTACAATAACTTAGAAGTACAATACTGTACCTTGTCCTTGAAGTTAAATTCATCTAAGATTTAAAACAAAAATTTTACTCAATTAATTATAACGTTTAAATCTGTTATAAAATGGAGACAAGAGACGTACCCTGAGTTCTGAAGTGAACCTGGGAGCCTGCATGGGCACATCCGAGACTTCGATGCGCTCGTAGCGGCCGCGCTGTTCCAAGTTCTGGATCTTCTCCCAGCCTGTGGGATGCTGTGTGTCCAGGTAGATGGAGCGACGAGCTGCACAAAACAGGTTAAGTAAACATTTTGCTCCTATACACTTCAATATGCTCTTCATCAACCACACTCCACCACCCAGAAAAATGTAGAGGAAAACGTGCATCAGACCCAGCATGACACCACTTTTAATCTTCTCTGAACCAAAATATTTCCTCGCCTTAATTTGTGTAAAGCAACAGAAGACCTTAAAGACCTGCATAACTTACACCTACACAACTTCAGTCTATTGCTCTTGTTGACAGTATACATCAAGACTTCTCTAGAGAGTAAATGATAACCCAAAGGAGTGAGCAGAACTAACCTGAGACCTTGACGTTGCAGGAGTTGACAGCCTCGCCTAACTTGTTGGTGGCCTTGCATAGGTAGGTGCCGGAGTCCTCAGCATATGTGTAGAGGATGTCCAGGGCGACGTATCCGAAGTCGTGTGTGGTGCGGAAGCGGTGACCTGGCAACATAAAGTCATAAGTTTCACCTAAAGCTGTGACTTAAGATCATAAATCTAACCAGATATTACAGCTTAAAAAAAATCGATTCCAGTTTTTAAAATATCTTTCATGTCTGAACAGAAATTTTTACATTGAGAGAGAGAGAGAGAGAGAGAGAGAGAGAGAGAGAGAGAGAGTCAATTAAACAATGGTAAGGGTTCGTCTCACTCACCAGCCTTGATCTCGACGCCGTTCACGAACCACTCCACCTTCAGGTTGGGATCGTTGATGGGTTCCAGACGACACTCCAAGTGGCACCTCTCACCCTCCACCAAGTTGTCCACACTGAGGGAGAGATGGAGGGTTACTCTAGCAGTGAACACGAGGGAGAATAATAATCTCACTAACGAGGGAATAATTAACTCATTTAACAAGGAAATAATTGCCTCGATGAAATAATAAATAGTTCGCTTAAAAAAAGTAATTAGATCATTTAACAAGGGAATAACTAGATTAATTAACAAGGAATAATCAACTCAACAAAGAGGAGACGGATTAACTCACTTGATGAGCGGGGTGGTAAAGACTGGCTTCTGGAACACCTGTTCCTTGGCCTCCTCAGTACGCTGGCCCATCGCCTCCAGTTGACGAATCTTACGGAGGCGCTCTTCATCCAGGGTCTCTGTCTGCATGCCAGTCGTACCTGTGGTGGAGGGAGGCCTTGATAAGTTCCTCTACTCTAACACACCCGAAATGACTGATTTCGTGTGTCTCGCTATACTGACAGCTATTTCGTGTGTCTCGCTATACTGACAGCTATTTCGTGTGTCTCGCTATACTGACAGCTATTTCATGTGTCTCGCTATACTGACAGCTATTTCATGTGTCTCGCTATACTGACAGCTATTTCATGTGTCTCGCTATACTGACAGCTATTTCGTGTGTCTCGCTATACTGGCAGCTATTTCGTGTAGTTCGCTATTCTAACACACTAAATGATTATTTCGTGTGTAACCCTTTTCTAGCAAAACTATTTCCTGCGCCTGAACAACTTTTTCGCCTGCCTCACTGTCTAACACACCCTGACTAATTGTGTTTATTTCTTGCGTCATTATCACCACGCCCCACCTCTCACCCCCAACCAACACACACAGACCAACACCTATTTCATAAGTGTCAATTACAACTTGCTATTCAACATATTTAAAGCAGACTTTATTCAATATATATTAAACTATGCAACATGGTATTTAACTGTATTTTTTTTCTGTTCTAAATACTCATAATCACGTCTTATATAGCAGCTACTATTTACAGGTTGAAATTTATTCAAGAAAAGGTTTACTTGCTTTTGTGTTAATGAAAAACAACGATAATACGTACAGTAAACAGCACTAAATTACAGGAAAAAGAATCCTTATGTCATTTACAAGTCATTGATGTCAGGAATTAATTATGACGTCATCATTGTCATCGTTAAAAATACAATACTCAATAATCACTACCAAGATAACTGCGTCATCAATTTAAATTCTAATCAAGATAATTACGTCACCAATACGTCATCGGCATCAATGTTTATTCCTAGCTACAGATGCACTACCATCCCCCCCCCCCCAACAAGTGACGTCATCAACTTACCGCGGGGTTGTGGTCACTCGCTGTTACAAGACAACAAGGGGAGACTCCAGCCGTTCCCCGCATAGTGTGCAGCGTGAAAATAACGGTGTATATAAAACCAATTAACTTTTACTCCTCTTATTTCTTGTACACAACTACTGTGACTTTCAACTCTTCAATATTTTTTTAATGTATACTTCTACACTCTCTTGGTATAGTTCAATCTTTTTCGCTTCTCAATATATAAATAAACACATTATTTCTACCCGTAATAAGCTCGTTGAAATATACCTCAACCTTTATCGTTACTTTTGATAAATATTACTCTTTGTTTCAATAATTTCAGTGCAAAAATATATTTAATCTTTGTCATGTCTGTAGTGAATATGTCATGAGATTTTTTTTTTCTTCATTTATTCAGTTTTTTTTTTCACCAGCGCAGTGTAAATGTTTTCGTCAGTGTAGTGTAAATGCTTCGCTCTACACAGCCAGACTACAGTGTCCGTAAATGCTTCTATCTCGGTGTATTTCTTTTCTTCAATTAACTAGCTTCATATGACTGGTTAGATTAGGTTAGGTTAGGTTAGGTCGTGTTGTCTGTTTTAATAGTTTGAGGTAAGCCGCCGCTCCAACCTATTCCTGACTGGCTGCAGGTCTCCCCGCAGCAGTGTGGGGTGGCCACAAGGATCGTGAGGTGTCATACCTGCATATTGTACTGTACATCCATGCCACCCATCTACATCCCTGCCACCCATCTACATCTCTGCCACCCATCTACATCTCTGCCACCCATCTACATCCCTGCCACCCTCCTACATCCTTGCCACCCACCTACAGTACATCGCTTCCACCCATCTACATCTCTGCCACCCACCTACATCTCTCCCACCTACATCTCTCACCCATCTACATCTCTGCCACCCATCTACATCCCTGCCACCCTCCTACATCCTTGCCACCCACCTACAGTACATCTTCCACCCATCTACATCTCTGCCACCCACCTACATCTCCTCCCACCGACATCTCTGCCACCCATCTACATCTCTGCCACCCATCTACATCCCTGCCACCCTCCTACATCCTTGCCACCCACCTACAGTACATCGCTTCCACCATCTACATCTCTGCCACCCACCTACATCTCCTCCCACCTACATCTCTGCCACCCATCTACATCTCTGCCACCCATCTACATCCCCACACCTCCTACATCCTTGCACCCACCTACAGTACATCCTTCCACCCATCTACATCCCCTGCCACCCACATCCATCCTGCCACCCATCACATCCCAGTCACCCATCTACATCCCAGCCACCATCTACATCTCCTCCCATCTACATCTCTGCCACCCATCTACATCCATGCCACCCATCTACATCCCAGTCACCCATCTACATCTCCCTCCCACCTACATCTCTGCCACCCATCTACATCCATGCCACCCATCTACATCCCAGTCACCCATCTACATCTCCTCCCACCTACATCTCTGCCACCAACCTACATCCCTGTCTCCCACCTACAACCCTGCCACCGACCTCACCACCCACCTACATCCCTGCCACCCACCTACATCTCTGCCACCCACCTATATCCCTGCCACCCACCTACATCTCCTCCCATCTACATCCTGCCACCCACCTACATCCCCTGCCACCCACTTCTATCCCTGACACCCACTTTCATCCCTGCCACCCACTTCCATCCCTGCCACCCACCTACATCTCCTCCCACCTACATCCCTGCCACCCACCTACATTTCTGCCACCCACCTACATCCCTGCCACCGACCTCACCACCTACCTGCATCCCTGCCACCCACTTCTATCCCTGACACCCACTTTCATTCCTGCCACCCACTTCCCTCCCTGCCACCCACTTACATCTCTGACACTCACCTATATCTCTACCACCCACCTACATCCCTGCCACCCACCTCACCACCCACCTGCATCCCTGCCACCCACTTCCATCCCTGCCACCCACTTCTATCCCTGACACCCACCTACATCTCTACCACCAACCTACAACCCTGCCACCCACCTCACCACCCACCTACATTCCTGCCACCCACCTCCACCATCTGCAGTAATCAGAGCTAAGATTATCCCCCCGGGTACAATATAGTTCATGTGCCATAATATAGCAGCTGGTGGTGCACACTTCCTTCGCCGCCCAGCTGTCACTCTAGTTATATCGGTGTTGTTCTGGCTGAGCATGACGTCATATACCTGCTCCCCGTGCCAAGGTTAACAGTCTCTGCTATAACTGTTCAATAACTCGTAACCAAAATAACGTTCTGGTTAAGAATTCTTAATTTTTATGGTGGTAATAAAACACAGCCACAAAGTGCAGGTCGTAACTCAACCATCGTAAGTTCTCTGCCCACCAGAAAACCTTTAACGAGTGGGATAAGGCTCGGGCCTCCCCATGTGTGCTAATACGGTATTATTAGTGGTCAAAAAAATTCCATCTTGGCAGCCGCCCCTCCCCTACCTGGCGCCGCCGAGGGTAGAGGAGGGAGCCGCTACCTCCACTTCATAAACTGATTACCTTATCTGACACCTCCTGAGGAGTCATGTAAACTAAATGTTCGGCAAGATAAATAGCTTTTTTTTTACTTATTACCTCCCGGCGAGTTGTTGTACTAGTCACCTGAACACGAGTTCTTACGAAAACTGATACTAGGACGTCTATATTAAGAAAGTTCATTCGTTCTGTTGCTGGCAGCTGGGGTGAAGTTTCCGCCCAGAAACATCGTCGTCAGGTGAGGGATTGTCTCCCACCTGGGCCGCCACAAGTAATTACGGCTATTTTCACCTGTACCCCCACCGTCTTAGGCCACACCTGGTGAGGGCGTCCCACAGCACCACCACGCAGCAACTAGCATCAGCAATAAACACCAGTTAAGCGGAGAGAAATAACGAGCTTAAACTGAACCTGGTCACGAATGCGACTCTTTGTTTGTCTCGCCTTTATGGGTAAAGTGACCAGGACATGTGGAGGAGAGGCAGGCGAAGAGTGTATGGAAGATGGGAGCAGAGAACAATAACAGGTGAAGAGAAGGATTAAAGACTTTGAGAGGGAGACGATTAAAAAAAAAAAAAAAAATATGACAGTGACAAAGGGGCCCAGGTGATGGAGGGCTGTGAGGTAACCTGTGTGAGGTAACCACCCCCTGTAGAGGAAACAGGTCACGGAGGTCGCCCTCGACTATACCACCATTACGCCTAGTTACTCTTGTTTGTTTCAAGAACGTAAGCAATGGGAGGATTAGAAATAGCAGTCAGCCCCTGTACTCAGGCTCTCAAGAATGAGTCATGGTGGGCATATTTTTAGTGTATTCATCACCTGTTGCCTAATTTACTCCATGAAGCTCCTCCTCCTTTTAAGCCCACACGGCCCCTGTGCCACCCCCCCACGCCCTCCCGGCCACCTACGCAGGTATGAAGCGCCTTCCACGCCCTCAGTCACCTGCACGCTGACGTCTCGACAGGAGGGCCAGAGAAAGAGGCTCACGCGACTTGTGCATTGTTTGCAGTACACGCTCTCCACCTCACCTCACGTCACCTCACCTCGCTCTTCCACTTCGTCATTAAATCTTACTTTCTAGTGCAGTACATTGTCCTATTTTATCTAACTTATTTTCTTCCTTATTTGGAGTGAAGGGAAACACGTTAGGTTGTTTTGTTCTTTATTAAAAGCCTCTTTCTCCGATGACACTGAGCAATTTAGTATGATACAGATAAAATACATTTATGAATCCAATTTTGAAAATATACTCTCAATGTTTTTGTTCATTTTCTTATTAATGCTCTACGAATATTGCATCGCAAACCAGAACCTCTTGAGGTAATGTGGTTTTGGGTGTTTAGGCGACTACTACGTGTGCGTGGCACGGTTAGCGTGGTGGTGGTGCGGGGCCCGGCGTGGTGGCCCATCACAAGCACAGCTCAGCCAAATAAACGAACGAATAAGCTAGCCTTGATGTATATGGTTGACAAGCGGCCAAAGTGTTACTTGGTGGATCATACGGGGATTACGTGATCATAATAATACCGTGAAAGACAGGAAGTCATTGTGCAGAAAACAACAACAACAACAACAACTACTACATTAGGTGACTAGAGGAATCGGGCACTGTACTCACTTACACGCCAACCACATATTTATTAAAACCAAATTATCGCCCATTAACGCTCAAGCCACGACTGTCTCCACTCACTAAACTGCTAACTGTGTCGGGTATCTCAGCACTACCACCTTACACATCATTTTTTTTAAGTAGCAAATATAGATACATGAGACACAACGACATACAGCGACACAGCCAATACTGTTACGCTACACTGTGTCAAGCTACACTGTGTCACACTATACTGTGTCACACTATACTGTGTCACACTACACTGTGTCACACTACACTGTCACGCACAAGCGGCGGGAGAGTCGTGGTTGAGGCGTTAATCAACGTAATTAAGTTTCTAACAACATGGCGGTTGCTGCCGAAAAATTTGCTGCCGAAAAATGCTCAGACAGATGAAGACTTCATCAAGTGATCAGAAAAAGCCGTAAGGCGAAGGACAAGAGGCCAGTATTATCTGGTACTGTACCTTCTGCGCCTCCCACAGATCACATGATCACACAGTCCATCTGTCCGAGTGTTCATCTTTAAGCGTGCATCATTATCAAGCATTGAGCAATAATATCGAAATGCTACGTTCAACACACATCTATATCTGCAGGCTACAAACGCTGTACAATTATCAAATAAAAAAAAGCTTTACTACAACTACTACGAAAATATAAGTAAATAAATATAAAAATACACTATACTACGGAAATTATCATATAAGAAATGTGTAGAAAACTAAATACTGTGTGTAATCTTCTTACCAATATGCCGGACACAAGACTCAGCTCATAAATAAACACATAATAATAATAATAACAACAACAACATGCAGTAAAGCTAACAAAGGCGAGGAGAGTGATGAAAGACAAGGCATCAGCCACAACTCACCTCATAAGGCACTTGTTAGTCATGTAATAGTCAACCATATCATTAACAACTTATTACACTAATTAATAACCCAAGGACGACCGTCACTGGGGAATTAACCAAGGGAATGAGCTATTAATAACATGACTGATAACGTTACAACACATTAGTATAGTATACACACCATGCACAGCCATATAAGTTTCTATAAAGCGTATAGGTTTACGTATCAGTGTAAGTATGCTAGTATTATTTATTGTAATTATATAAAAAAAACTTTGTTAAAATCTTGACTTGTTTTTGTTTTTTTGTCTTAAAAGATTCACTGTGACCAAAAAGTGAGTTCATTATACAACCCCAACACTACAATGCTATCATGAACAAAGTCTGTAAAGTGTGGACAACTGTACTGTAATGAGTTAATGATAAGTTTATATTGTGTCTCCATAATACAAGCAGCAGCAGAGTAATCAAATATGGTGACAATAAATAATCAATGAACTGACCGTCTATAAAATGTAATAACACTTATCATACTCAGTACAAATATCAGTTGTATGGCCCACAAAATAAAGCCAGGTTTATAATACTGGAAGGCGTTATAATGTTAATGTGTAGGAAAGTGTGTGTGTGTGTGTGTGTCTGTGTGGAGAAAGATATGCTGGTGGCAGATTTAGTCGTAGGAGGAAGGGTACGAGGAGGTCTGGGTGTATGTGTGACGAGAGAGACTCAGGACAATATCTCTCTTTTGGAGTGTGTGTGTGGAGGAGATTTATCTGTAAAGGATGTGTTGGGGATGTTGTAGGATGTGTTGAAGGAGGTGGTAAAAAATTTAGTTGTATGGGGTGTGTTGAGGGAGGCGGACGAGGGGCCTATCCCCGGTGTAGACGAAGCAGCCGTGAATACGTCGGGCCATCTGCAGCTTACCCTCCACCCCGATGCTGCATGAAGTGACGGCCTGACCCGCAGCGTTGGTCGCCTTGCACATGTAGGTTCCTGAGTCTTCTGGGTAAGCATAAAGGATGTCCAGAGCCACGAAACCAAAGTCGTAAGTTGTGCGGAAACGATGGCCTGAAGAGAGACAAAAACGAAACATTATATTTACCATAACTATCAATTATTATCATTATTGTCTTGTAAGAGTGACAGATTAATTAACTATCTTACAGTACACTTATTAAGCTGAAACTTGCTTTGAGATAAGTACTAAGGATAAAAGGTGTAAATAAATGCTTAAGGCAGTTGTAAAATACTTCACAGTGGGAGAAGAGAACCTTACCTGATGGAATTGGTTGTCCATTGAAGAACCACTCGACCTTCATGGTGGGGTCGTTGACGGGGGTAAGTGTAGCCTCCAAGTGGATTGCCTGTCCCTCCATCAGATGGTCCTGGTTCCTCAGGGATCGCCCGAAGTTGGGCTTCTCGATCATCACCGCGTCTTCGGGACGCTTGGTTGGAGCCTTCTGCTCCAAGCGGCTGATCTGGGCCATGGCCTCCGGGTGTTGAGATTCAATGATGAAGTCGCTCTTGGCTGTGGAGAACAGATTGAAGCACAGTGAGATGTAAACTTATGATACAGTTCACTGTTAGTAAACAGACACTACAACAGGAATCTTAATAATTGTGTTCCTACACTAAAAGAGTGGTGCTGAAACTTACGTTTGACCTGGATTGTGATGGAGGAGGAGGCAGTGCCGATGCGGTTCGTGGCCCTGACTTCATAAGTGCCAGAGTCTTCGGCCACTGCCTGCAGGATGTCCATGGCGCAGAACCCGAAGTCATACATTGTCCTGAAATAACATCAATTTATTAATTTTGAAAGAGATATGTTTAAAATTGCTCAGATAATTAATGTATTAATCTAATTTGTCTTTAGTGCTTCACCTTAATATTTAACACGTCATGTTATCAAAGATAATAATATTTAAATGGAAATTGCGGATATAAGTCTGGGTAAATATTACTCACTCGTTTAGTTCACCCAGACAGACTGTGACTTGTATTGTTATGGTACACCTTCACGGGCTGTAGTAGCTTACCTGAATCTGTGTCCAACCTGGAGAGACTTGCCGTTGTGGAACCACTCCACCTTCATGCTTGGGTCTGGGTAAGGCTCCAGGCGGCACTCAACGTGGGCACTCTGACCCTCCCACAGCTCTGTCAGTCCAGACAGCTTCACCACGAACCTAAACATAAATCAAGACCATACTTATTAACATATCTATATACGTAGTATATATTACACCGGTAGTTTTCTGTATAATTACCAGGAATAAGTTATTAGTGAAGGCGTCAGTTATAGGCAAGCTTCCTGTGTGTAAAATGACGAAAAAAAAACTTTGTCAAATATCCAGGTATTATACAGAGTTGGGTGGGAACTAGAGCTAGTAACCCTGATCAAACCTGGTCCTTAAGTTGTACTGCAAGACACCGACAAATATCATTAAATATTTTACATTTTTCTGCTTAAAAACTTTTTCTGGTATAATGAACAAAATAGATGTGCTCATCTATGGTGTTCTCACTCAACAACAAGGCCTCAAATGTTCATCTGGTTTATCCGTTACTTCAAAATACCTAAAATTACCCATCTTCAAGTACTGTACATCCTTACATAAAAAATCATTTGAAACTTTAGATACAAAGGAAGATACAGTTAATGAGAGGTCATAGAGTAGAGAGAGACTCACTTAGGTGCCTGTGTGATGACAGTCTCCTCAGTGGAGGACTTGGTATAGCGGGAGGAGTCCTCCAAGTAACGCAGTTTCTCCAGGGCCTCAGTGTGCTGAGACTCCAGCATGAGGGACTCCTTGGCTGTAGGAGGGAGAATAAAATATAGGTAAGATTAGACACATCATTCTGCTTTGCACAGGAATTAAATTATGTTATAATACAGAACTGACTGATGCAAACAATGTTGACAGCGACCAATAAACATATGATGTACTCACATGTCACCATGAGGGTGGCAGTTGTAACAGCCTGCCCCAGGCGGTTGGTGGCACGGCAAGTGTAGGTGCCGGAGTCCTCAGGGTTGACGTACTTCATATCCAGAGCAACGTAACCAAAGTCATGCATGGTGGAGATGCGGTTGGCCTGTTGGATAGGAATATTGTTCTTGAACCATTCCACCTTAAGATCTGGGTCACCCACGGGGATGAGGCGAGCTTCAAAGTGCAGTGGTGCATTCTCGATGAGCTTCTGGTCCTTGATGGGTGAGGTGAAGACAGGAGCCTGCATGGTGGTCTCCTCGGTGGTGATAGTACGCTGGGAGCGAGATGATGACTCCAGCCGTGAGATTTTGTTCATGGCGTCCTGGTTCATTGTATCCATCAGGATGGACTCCTTAGTGTGGCACACCAGAGTACATGTGGAAACTGCCTGACCGATAATATTGGTGGCACGGCAGGTGTATGTGCCAGAGTCTTCAGCATAGGAATACATGATGTCAAGAGCCACAAAGCCGAAGTCATTATACTCGGTGAAACGGGAACCACTCTTGACGGGGGTGTTGTTGTGGAACCACTCCACCTTCATGGTGGGGTCGGAGATAGGGATGAGACGCACTTCAAAGTGAGCGCGTTGACCCTCCAAGATCTCGATGTTCTTTAGGGAGGTGGTGAACACTGGGGCCTGTTTGGTGGTCTCCTCCACCTGCTCAGTGCGGGAGTAGCGGCTACGGTCCTCTAGCATCTGCAGCTGCTCCATAGTCATGGTCTGGTTCTGTGACTCCAGCACGATGTTAGACGAATCTATAACAAATAACAAACGTCAGGATTTCTTCACTTCAAAATAATATATCATGCCACGCTTCCTATATTTACTATACAATAAGCTGAATATCATCCATTTATTGAAGGAAAAAGTACTTAAGCTTACTTTGCTGTATACTGTACTAGATAACCATTCACATGATACTAAGAATTTCTCATTTGACTTCTCTTAACTTATCCCCATGCAAAATATACCCATCACCTTTATGTTATTGTAAGTTAGTCTACGATATAAAATAGTAAAATTGCTGAAAAAATTATTAGATAGGTTATTTAATTCTTCTGATTCTGTAAGAGATCAGAGAATATATAAAATGTCCGATGTTGAAGCAAAAAAAAAGTTTATTTATTTATGTAATAATTTGGGTTAATTTTGATTAATTTATCGACAAGCGAGTGTGTCTATTATTGAAAGGAAAAAACAAAAATAAACATTTGTCAAAAATATATATGCTGCTCTAAAAGTAGTCTGGAAATCAGCCTTTCCTGTGACCTGCAAGAGCCAACAAGAGGAAAGATGTTAACTAGTCTACAAGCAGGAGTGCAGAGTGTGTTGACGAGTGCAGCAGGCGAGTGTAGGCCCCAGTGACAGCCAGCCAGCGTCAGGCCTACTACGTTACTCACTGATGCACTTCAGGTTAGCTGAGATCTCATCTTTGCCCATCAGGTTTGTAGCCACGCAAGTGTAAACACCAGAGTCCTCCTCAATGAGATCAGATATATCTAGAGCCACGTAACCGAAGTCGTGGATCAGACGGAATCGTGATCCCATCTGGATAGGTTGTCCGTTTTTATACCAGTCGATGTGAAGGTTGGGGTCCGTAATTGGTTCGATCTTAGCTTCAAAGTGGGCATGCATGCCTTCCCTCAGAGTTACATCCTTCAACTTGGTCAGAAAGCGAGGCATAATCTTGACAGAAACTTCTTCCATTGTCTCTCGTCTCTGATAGCGTGAACTGTCGTCCAGATACTGAAGTTTCTGTAGGCTCTCTGGGTGTTCAGAGTCGAACACTAGGTCCTTCTTGGCTACAGGGAAAGGTGTCAAGGTAAGGTCAACTGGGGTCAAGATAAGGATACAAATGCCTTGGTTTGATATGATGGTCAACAGAGGTAATATTAGACAAGGGGAACAAGTGACGGCAATATGGATCTGGTATCCGACAAAGGGACCAAAAACACACAAGGCTTTCTGAATCATAAACAGAGGCTTGGGACTTTCATTTAAACTGTAGACAATATCCGTCTTGAACTGATACTAGAGAAGTTTCCCAGTCTTAATTGGAAATCAGAAGTTGTTCTTTATCATAGTTACTCCAGGAAACATTGGAAAAGGTGATGATCTAATAATTCGTAGAGGAAACACAAACTTTAGGTACAGGCTTATAGACATGCAACACAAATATACATTTTCTGGTCTTACTTACCAGTAACTTTGACCGAAGCTGAAGTGACAGCCTGACCGAGACGGTTGGTGGCCTTGCAGGTGTAGATACCAGAGTCGATGGGATATACACTCAGTAGGTCCAGAGCTACATAGTCGAAGTCATATGCAGGTCTGAAACGATGTCCTACTTTGAGTGACTGATCATTGAAGAACCACTCGACCCTCATTGATGAGTCACCTACTGGCTGAAGGCGAGCTTCCAGGTGAATGTTGGTGCCCTCAACTGTCTCGATGTTCTTCAGTGACTTGACGAAGCTCGGTTCCTTATTAATTTCAGCCTCTTCTGCGGCTGTTCGTTGGTTTCGAGAGGCGTCTTCCAGGTAGTGAATCTGCTCCATGGCACTGTCGTGCATGGTGTCAGTCTGAATGTCACTAGTGCTCTGAATGTGGACACACGCTGAAGTATGGGCACTGCCAAGATAATTCTCAGCCCGGCAAGTATATTCTCCCGAGTCTGTGGTGTATGCTCCGAGAATATCCAAAGCAACAAAACCAAAGTCGAAGTAAGTCTTGAAGCGAGAGCCGATGGTAATAGGCTTTCCATTGAAGAACCATTCTACTTTCATGGTTGGATCGTTCATAGGCTCAAGTCGAGCCTCAAGGTGAACGTTCTTACCCTCTGGCAGGGGCTTGGGGTCCTGGAGCAGCTGAGTAAATTCAGGCTTAGACTTTGTCAGCTCCTCAATATCATACTGAGGCTCGCGGTGGCGGTGCTCCAGGGCAGCTGTCTTGCTCAGACTTACCTCATGCATCGAGGTGGTGTCGATGGCTGATCGAGCTGTATAAGAAAAAAGTCAAATATATATACTGTATATACAGGGTATACATGAGCTGCATAAATGTATCTACTTAAGAAAATTATATTACAACATTAATTACAAATACAGAAGTAATATATCCCACAAGAATCCGATATAAGGTAACTTACTCTCGACGTTCATGACGGTAGACATCTGAGCCTGACCAAGAGAGTTGCGTGCAACTACAGTGTACTGTCCGGCGTCTGACTGTCGGACATCAGAAATATCCAGAGATACGTAGCCAAAGTCATGGTAAGTCTTGATGCGAGATGCTGACATGATTACTTGTCCGTTGAAGTACCACTCAACTGTCATGGTGGGATCACTCTGTGGTTCAAGACGAATCTCGAAGTGAGCTTTTTGACCCTCTAGAATCTTGTTAGTTCCCTTGAGGGGACCGAGGAACTTGGGGGGTATTGACACAGCCGAGACGTCCTCAGTTTCAGTCCTCTGGTAGCGAGAGGAATCCTCCAGGTACTGCATCTTCATCACAGTGTCTTCATATTGACTTTCTCCCTCCTGGTCCGTCTTGGAGATGACAGTGAGCTGGCAAGACACTTGAGCTTCACCCTTGGCGTTGTAGGCACGGCAGATGTACGTTCCTGCATCCTTCACAATGAGCGCCTTCACAGTAAGGGCAACATAGCCGAAGTTGAAGAAGGAAGTAACGCGGGAACCTGAAACAACAGAATAGTTTCAAGTTCGTGGACAAAAGGGCAGTTTGACTTAAATGCACTCAAATGTACTCGTGTCTCTCCCTGAAACAGAAACACTTTCTAAAAATACTGAAGATACTAATCATTCAATTTCTCTGTGTAGTATAAGAAGATAAATAATTTTTACCTCAATTTCACCGGACTCATCATTTAGGATTGTAAGAAATATTAAAAAAGGACTCACTGGCTTCCATGGGGCGTCCATCCTTGAGCCACTCCACCTTCAGTGCGGGGTCACCGACAGGTTCCAGGCGGGCCTCGAAGTGGGCATAGCCACCCTCCCGGGCTGTCGAGTCCTTGAGTTGTGTCTTAAACACCGGGGCTGTGACTGCCTCGGCCATCTCAGCGCTAGTCTTCTGTAGCATCTGTAGCCTAGAGGATAAATTCAAAATACAAGTTAAAACACTGCATGAAGACTTGTGTTAAAATACATCATAAGTTTCATCAACATTTGTCATTATATCATGTTCACAGCATTAGTGAAAATTACACCAGTTAATATCTTATACATTCAGGATAAACATAGGGAATGTTACCTGTAAGCCTCCATCTCCTCCACACTCTTGATGTGTTGGGCTTGTTCTGGGATGCCGAGGTCACCCGTCACGCTGGACAGTGCTGTAAGACAATCATGAATGTCACCCCTTCTTCCCTTCACCTCAGTATATATACAAACAATGATCTATATCCCTTCTTCTCTGTCCATAAACAACCTAGACAGAATACTTAAGCAAGGTGTTGACAAACTTAACTGAAGAGAGCATGTATAGAACAGTGAAGGTTGAGGTACTCACTGATAACCTTGATGGAGGCCTGACAGGAGCACTCGCCGGCTTTATTGGTGGCGCGGACGGTGTAGGTGCCACTGTCCTCCTCTCGCAGCTGCATGATGTTGAGGGCGACATAGCCGAAGTTGTAGATCACGTTGATGCGGGAACCTGTGGGGGTACAGGGAAGATGGACTCGATTACCCAACGCTCGTGTGTGACGGTAACAAAGTAGTGTAGAGGAAAATTATTAAATACCGACAGTATATAGAGTATTTGAATGATTGTTTGCTACATACACACTGGCACACATCAACGCCTGTTTTCATCTTTCTCAAATATACTGTACATTCTATACTCACTAGCAGTAATATGTTTGCCGTCCTTGAACCACTCGATCTTCATGAAGGGGTCGCTGACGGGATGCAGTTGGGCCTCGAAGTGGGCATACTTGCCCTCGATCACTTCCCCCAGGTTGCACAGAGGCTTGACGAAAGTAGGCTTAATGGTGGTAGATTCATCAATGGAGACCGTACGCTGGTAGCGGGACTGGTCCTCCAGGTAGCTGATCTGCTGCATAGCTTCGGGGTGTTGTGTCTGGCTCTCGATCAAGGGCCGCTCTGTTGATCAAGAGACAAGTCCGTTATACTTGTACACCAGTTTGTACGATCTAATAAACTACTGTACATGTAAATAGGTAACAACACGGGTTAATAACATATACTTTTAATTTAACTTATGCAAAAATATATACAGTATCTTGCTTAATGATGACAACTTTTGTAAATTCTTTAAAACAAGTATCAAGTACCTAATGATAAGTAAACAACTAAGGACATTTGGAAACCAAAATGTTGAAAATTTCTTTGGTGATCGTGTGTGATCCATGTGGAGGCGACTTACCCGTCACCCTAAGGTTGGCAGAGGTCTCGGCTTGGCCCTTGACGTTGGTGGCGCGGCAGGTGTACACACCCGCGTCAGCCTTGATCACATTCAGGAGGTCTAGAGCTACGAAGCCGAATCGGTAAGTGACGGTCGCTCGAGAACCTGACACAAGGAAATCATTATAAGTCGATGATGACTTAACAAAGAAATACAACCGCTCCCCAATATTGTCACAGCCACTGAAGTGAGAGATGTGGACGTGGAAAACATATAAAAGAGTGTAAGTGAGAGAGTCATGAGGAGGTGAAGGAAGACAATTGAGGAGTGGCTTTTATAATGAAGGAATATCTGAAGTTGTTGAAGGAGATGCAACAAGGAGAAGCTGCCTGGATCACAGTATAGTCATTTACATTATGTAGTGAATTAAAAAAATTATCTTCAATTTTCTTATTTGAATCTCTATTGCCTGTTCACTTGTAATAATAGAGCACAGAGTTAAGAGAACACATCATGAGTGGATTCTAAGGAACATCCAAAAGAAGCGGACAAAACTTAGTCTTCCCTTCACCGGTCATGCATGAAACAAGGCGACACTACAGGTGACTCAACACTTACTGGCAGAAAGAGGTCTGCCGTCAATGAGCCACTCGACGTTCATGGTGGCGTCACCGACGGGTATCACCTTAGCTTCGAAATGGGCACGGGTGCCTTCGACGATATCGATATCCCTCAGGGGATGTGTAAACTTGGGGGGTTCGGTGGGCTGCTCCTCCTCAGGGGCCTTAGGCACATGGTGGGCACGCTCCACGGGGCGCAGGATGATCAGTTCGGGCTCCGGTTCTGGTCTGCAACATAACAGTAACAGTTAGTTACTATCAAATATAAGTTATCTAATTACCATATTATCTTATGAACATGATGGCACCAGCCACATGTACACAGAATGCCAATCAAACTTCTGTTGTAAAACATCAGTAATGTTAACTAACAGCAAATATTCACTTACTCGGGTTCGATAATCTTTGTAGGTTTAGGGAAATGAGGTCGCAGTGGTGCACTTGGCCCAGGGGCCTTGGCGGTCTTGACGTGCAGGCGGGCGCGGGTCGCTGTGGAACCGGCCGAATTCTGGGCATTGCACTGATACCAACCAGCGTCGGCGGCGCCAGCACTCAAGACCTGTAGGCATGACGCTCCGTTCTGGTCGAACTGAACCTGCAACAACACAATCATCATATGTCATTAAATGCTAACACAAATAGTTTAAACTTTAAGGAACACATCAAACATTATACTATACTGATGAAGTAAATGTCTGCACTTGCTGCTGATTGAACCAAAGCAGCATTATAGCGAAAAAATATATGAAGTATATATATATTAAATCACACGTGTCAATTCAGTATATGCATATTGGATGAGAATGAGATAATAAAACTGATACGTTATTGTTAAAATGACGCAGCAGTTAATTACCATGACGTTCTGTGTATTCTCAACAGTGACGCCGTCCTTTTGCCAGGAGAGGACGGGCATGGGGGTGCCCACGGCGCGGCACTGCAGCACCACAGTCTCACCCTCCGACACCGAACATTGCTGGAACCTTTCCACGAACTTGGGGGCCACCATCTGCTGCATCTCTAGCACACTCAGTTGACACTGCAGTAGTTTATAACATTTGATGAATATGTTCACATAGTAAACAACAAAAAGATAATATCGCTCAGCTACACAACAACTAAGAACTTGTTCATTAAAAAATATTTGCATCAGCTTTTGCAACCTTAAGAAAATTACATTACCTTCTGCAAGAAGTGAACAACCATATAACACTGAAGACGCTCTTAAGCACGTCTACACAGGGGGACTCTTTAACAGAATGACCTTACACACTGGGGCTGTAACACCACGAGGACTGGGACTACCAACGTACCTGGAATGTGGCCTCGCCGGACTTGTTCCTGGCGACACAAGTGAGGATACCGGCGTCCTTGAGGGAGACCTTGTTGATCATGAGGGAGTGGTTGCCTGCCTCGTTCACCAACACCTTGTGGGTATTATCGTCCACGACCAAGACACCGTTGATGTACCAAAACACCTGCCACAACAATTAATTCATCATGTAGTGAAGATTAACTCCATTACTTTGAAAAAAATAATATAAATCAAATCTTATGACACTTTTTCTTGTGTGGATATTGCATCACAGACCAGCAGATATACTGTAGAGAAACTAAAGTATGATAACAAATATGTGTATGGTATGTGTAAGAGGCAGGGCCCGGGTTCTCACCTCTGGGTAAGGTCTGCCAGTGACACGGGCGTCAAAGCGCACCATTCTGCCCTCCTGCACCTCGCGGTCAGTGGGGCCACGGACGAACTTGGGCTCCATAGTTTTGCTGCTGTCGTCTCCTGTATCTGGTTCCGCCGCCATGCTGGGAGCCTGCTGCTGCTCACTGCCGGACACACAAAATATTATTTTTTCCCCTAAATCAAGAGTATCTCTGAACTAAAATTTACCAGTGGTACAGTATAAAGATTTACTACAAGGTGTAACCCTTCACACGTGTCCCCAGGTAATGATACTATAACAACCTGTCAAAGTGACAATACCAATATTTTAAATGTATTTCTATGCTGACATTACTTACTACATCTTCATTAATAATCTTAACATAACACTTTGTGATAAGTAAATAACTCACATCCTTTCAGGGCGGATGATCTCAGGTACAGGGACGCCATTAGTGATCTCCCCGCGGGGCACAACGGCCAGCTGGGCCGAGGCCACGGTGCAGCCCGAGTTGTTCTCGGCCAACATGGTGTAGTAACCGTTGTCGTTGGCGTTGACCTGCTTTACCACCAGGGTCACTTGTCCGGCAGACTGGGTCATCAGGAATTTATCACTCGCCTGAATACGTGTCCCATTCTTGAACCAAATAACCTGGAAAAAATAATACTCAAATAAGTCAGCTCTTGGTGTGGTGTGGTAGTTAGTGGATGTACTCGTTAAAACATATAATTATATTCTTTCAATATTAAGTAATACTTAGTGTTGGTGTCTTTCATATATGACAACAACAAGAGGCAGGCAGGTGTGGTCACGTACCCTGGGGGTCGGGTAGCCGTTAACGCTGACGGTGAAGGTGGCGTTGCCTCCATCTGAGACCTTAGTGGAGCGAGGTTTTTGTTGAAGCTGAGGTGCCTGAGGAGGACCCTGGATGGCCCCGACCTCTACCTCAGCCTCTCCCGTCATCCGCACGCTCAGTGTCTGACGGAACTCCACCTCGTGAAGCAGCCGGTACTCGAAGGTGTCCACGCGGAAGGATTCGGTAAGACCATTTTGCACCGACATCATATGTTGCTGCTGCTGCTGAGAAATTGATTGTTGCGACATATGTTGTTGCTGCATCATGGTCTTGCTCTGTGACATCTGCATGGACTGTTGCTGCTGACGCTGCTGCTGCATCATGAAGGCGGCTGTGGCAACAACACAATTATGAACATTGAAAAATTTAACAACTATATTACGATGATTTTTAACTACAGTATCTCCTTTTTTCAGTCTTTAATTTGTGATAAAACTTATACAAGTTCCTTATCTTCACTTGAGTTTTATTTATCACTTAAACGTCAGTAATTCACAATACAGTATCTTAAACACCCTGAAGAGGTGATGACAACAGGCACGGTACTGACCCTCCGGCTGGATGTATACGGTACAGATGGCCTCGCCGAACTGGTTGGCGGCTGTGCAGGTATACTCGCCCTCATCGCCAGGACCAATAGCGGTAATCAGCAGGGTTACTACACCTGTCGTTTCGTCGTGGGTCACCTGAGAGAAAGGGAAGGCGTGTTGGTGGTCACATGCAAGAATTTGTTGGTCATAATATTCCTAAACTGAGAGCACTGTCGGTGCCCGATATTCACACAATTGACCTTCATCGTCTAATCAAATAAACAGTACAGTACAGTACCGTACAGTACAGTACAGTACAGTACAGTACAGTACAATACAGTACGGTACAGTGCGGTACAGTACAGTACAGTACAGTACAATACAGTACAGTACGGTGCAGTACAGTACAGTACAGCACGGTGCAGTACAGTACAGTACGGTGCAGTACAGTACAGTACAGTACAGTACAGTACAGTACAGTACGGAGCAGTACAGTACAGTACGGTGCAGTACAGTACAGTACGGTGCAGTACAGTACAGTACAGTACGGTGCAGTACAGTAGAGTAGAGTAGAGTAGAGTAGAGTAGAGTAGAGTAGAGTACAGTACAGTACAGTACAGTACACTAGAGTACAGTATAGTGCAGTGCAGTACAGTACAGTACGGTGCAGTACAGTGCAGTACAGTAGAGTAGAATAGAGTAGAGTAGAGTACAGTACAGTACAGTACAGTACAGCATTATATAAAAATTTTGCTGGGGGTATCACTACTTAAACAAACATTTAGTGCAAGTTGTGTGTAATAATAATAATAATAATAATAATTAACGGTTTATTGAAAGAGCTTACAGCCAGAAGGCTGAAAAATATACAGTTACATATTTGGGGAATGGGTTACGAATTACAAATAATATACAAGTGACATAAGTGACACAAATAAGACATATAGTAACTTAGGATGGGGATCAGCTCAAACTACAGTTCATTTCAACATAGTGACAGTGTAGGGAGCAGTGTTTACTGGGAGTGAATACACTGATTTATTACATGTTATTGATAATGTGTGTGTGTGTGTGTGTGTGTGTGTGTGTGTGTGTGTGTGTGTGTGTACCCAAAAGTCAAAACTTAAGTGTCAGGTCAGTTTTAACTACCCTTGAACTGGCCATTAAGCATGTAAAAATACTGGATAATACTCCAAGTTTGGACAGAAACAAAAATAAAGGTAAATCAGAGTTTGGTGACGTAGGTCTTGGAGGTGCATGATACTCACCTGGTATTTCTGACCATGGGCGATCTGTGCGCCTTTACGCGTCCAGGTGACTGTGGGTTTGGGATTGCCCGTGACTTTGCCCTCGAACATGGCGTCACCGCCCTGGGCAAACCGAGCATTGCGGAAGATCTGCTCGAACACTGGTGGGGACGCGCCCGCTGGCAGACCCACGCTGTAAGGCAAGACAACATCAGTTAGCAGGACACATACTTAACAGCATGGAAGGAAACAGCCTAACATAACATGCTTTATGCTAACTCCTTACTGTGTATTGTAGACATATGGACCAGTTTACCTCAGCAGGTGGTCGAGTACCTAAATATGCTGATCATCGAGAAAAAAACTAAACAAACATTGTGCAGATCAAGCTTTTATATACAACTACAGTCATGTATATACGACTACAGTCATGTATATACGACTACAGTCATGTATATACTGTTTATTGTACAGTCACTACGCCGCCCACTACAGCGTCGAGTAGTGTGATAATTTTTGTCTACAACACTGAACGGTCACTACACAGACTCAGTGAGTTTAGTGTGGGTAAGACCTCTTTATATACAGTACTGTACCAGCAGATACTAACCCAAGATTCACTCAATTTCTAACATCAGAGAAATATGGCAAAAAGAACATGTAGTGAGGAAATGTTTGTAAAAATTAATCTTTAACAAGTTTAAGATAATGACAACGTCCTCATCCAACAAGGTAAAGTAGAGAGAAGGTTGACCAACGTTAACTCCCCTCCCACCCCAACTTACTAAACCCCCCCCTACTAACTACTCCCTCCCCACCCCCACCCACCACACCCCCGCCGCCCCTACTACAGGAAGAGCTGGAGGCTACCACAACAACCTTCACTTTTTACTAATATTTATGTAAAACTTTTAAATCTCACTTAATAACAACAAAAATGGAGACGTGAAGGCAGAAGAATACAACACACAGGGTAGAGAAGGTCGTGGTGGCGGGCGTCGCGTTATAATCACCAGGACGATTGACAGACACATACCATCACATCTGCCAATATGTGGATGATAAAACTCGCTTCACTACCCAGCTCAGGAGCCCCTACAGTAACCTACACTATCAAGCGAGACGTTCCTTGATCTTCCCTCGTAACTGGAGAAGCCAGAACGTATCTAACTATTTGAAGAAACATAAAACGTAAGCATAATGTCCATAATGGCATCTGAATTACGCTGAAACTCGACTTTAATTAGATATATAACGTTCCTTTAGCACCCGTCAGGAGACCAAATGAATACTGTGTGTGTGTGTGTGTGTGTGTGTGTGTGTGTGTGTGTGTGTGTGTGTGTGTGTGTGTGAATCTAAACTTTAATTATACTTCACTTTATAAGTTCGAACCTAACATAACCTAACACAGCCTAACGTGATCAAACCTAACCTAACCTGACCTGACCAGGCCTAACCTAACCTAACTTAACCAAACCTCTCTGCATACAGCCAAACATCAACTTATCCTGTGTTTATGGCTGTTAATTAAATCAAGATCTAGTGACCGATGCTTCGTAACCCCTGGCAACTGAAGCACCTAAAACTGACCCACGGTCAATAAACCCCTGGTACTAAAGCACCTAACCTAAAAACAAAACGCCAGGTAAACGGTGCTAATAAACATTGATAGCTGAAGCACCTAAAAACTAACACACATTGACCCACAGTGATTAATAAGGCACCTAAAACAAAACACCAAATGAACAAAGACGCTTCATAAGCTTTGCTAAAACTAAGCAGCTAAAACTAACGACGCTTCATAACCCTGGCAGTTGAAACACCACAGCTCGGGGCAGGGATTGGCTGAAGACTCACACGCCAAAATAGGCACAGCGGCCAACACTCTGCCTTATGTGAGCCAGGAAGCACATACTGGTGGGCTACATCAGAGTGACGGGGAAGAGGAGGACGGGGTAGGAGGAGGAAGAGAGAAGGGTGGAAGAGGAGGCAGGGAGGAAGAGGAGACAGGGGAGGGGAAGGCAGGGGGGAGGAGGAGCAAGAGGAAGCAGGGACAAAGGAGAGGAAGAGAGGAGGATGGAACAGGAGGCAGGATTGAAGGAGGAGGGAGAAAAAGAAAATAAAGACAAATGTTGAATTGAGATACGAGATGAAGAGAGAGAGAGAGAGAGAGAGAGAGAGAGAGAGAGAGAGAGAGAGAGAGAGAGAGAGAGAGAGAGAGAGCTAATATAAACAACGACGCATCGCCACCAATAACAAAACAGAAAACTGGTCCACCTAAACAACGTCATAGCCAATCACTCAATAACTATCTCTCGGTCAGTTAGTTCTTTGGTCACTCAACATCAATATAGCACTGCTGGCACCACTACTAAAAACAAACATAGATTTTTGTTTTCTTAATAGATGGTGGACGTCTGTATTTACACAATTAAATCTCTTGACGGAGTGTTAGTTAGTTCATATGGGTCACCCGCCACCCTCTGTGACCCTGTGGTGTGTGTGTGTGGTGTGGTGTGGTGTGTGTGTGTGGTGTGGTGTGGTGTGTGTGTGTGTGTGTGACCCCAAGACTCCAGATAATTTTAGTGAATGTTTGTTTATCTGTTCTAAGGCCGCGAAGACTTGAGGCTGGTGCTTAATAACCCCGGGCAGCTCTAGCACCTAACACTATAGGCTAACATCAACAAAGGCGACGGATGGTTGCTGTCAGGTGACCTATAAGTTAGTGTATAGACAAACTTAACACCGGGCCGGATTCACAAAGAGTCTTATGATTAACTATGATTAACTATGATTAACTATAGATCTAACAACGTAACTACTCCTACACCACATCGTAACAAAAATCGTAATTATACCAATATTCGACCTTTTCTAGATACGTTTTTTAACCCAATTGAGGAAAACAAAATTAAAGGAGTGAATTATTTCTACGTGGTGTGTGTGTGTGTGTGTGTGTGTGTGTGTGTGTGTGTGTGTGTGTGTGTGTGTGTGTGTGTGTGTGTGTGTGTGTGTGTGATTCAGACATCCGGTGTTCTGATTATTCCCCAACAAAACCAATCTTAAAATTAGTGATTAAATCTTCGCCTCATATTATATAACCTAATCATCACCACCACCACCACACATCATCACCACCACCACCACCATACATCACCACCACACATCATCACCACCATCATCACCATCACACATCATCACCACCACCACCATACATCATCACCACACATCATCATCACCACCACACATCATCACCACCATCATCACCATCACACATCATCACCACCACGACCATACATCATCACACACATCATCACACCACCACACATCATCACCACCATCATCACCATCACACATCATCACCACCATCACACATCATCACCACCACGACCATACATCATCACCACACATCATCATCACCACCACACATCATCACCACCATCATCACCATCACACATCATCACCACCACCACATCATCATCACCACCACTACTACAGCACATCACCCTAAAATACTCAAACTTTGCAATAACTAAGAACAGCTGTGACGACTACCAGCTGAAGCGGGCCGACACACACACACACACACACACACACACACACACATACTCTACGTACATAACTTACCGCATTTCATAACTTGGTCCAGTATTCAGAATTGATATCCGACATGATTAGCTTGACTTAAGAGATTAGGTTCTTATCGTGGTAATACAGAGTTGTGTTTATCGTATACTGTATCTATATTCTTTCCTTTTTTTCTACTATACTTGAGCATCACACACACACACATACACACACACACACACACACACACACACACACACACACACACACACACACACACACACACACACACACACACACACACACACACACACACACACACACACACATTCTCTCCTTAGTCGCCATCGTTTATTCATTTAAAGTTACAGAAACAACTTTGAGCTTTGTCATGGTGTTCCTCTACCATAAAGAGCCTAAAATATCCCTCTGTTGCTTCACATCACCGTCCACCCTCCACCTGCTCCTCCTCCTCAGATGCCATTCGACGTCAAGCTCTCCCCGACGAGTGATTTTTGGAGGAGTGAGGCGACACAGAGAGAGAGAGAGAGAGAGAGAGAGAGAGAGAGAGAGAGAGAGAGAGAGGTGCAGAAGCAGGAGTTTGGCTGCGAGGGCTGCGTGTCATAAGCATATGAGTTAGGAAGAGTGTGTGCCAAAGTGGTGGGCGGGGGCGTGAGGCGAGACGTGGTGGCGCAGTCCCTCACCTGTGGCGCCGCGGGTGCCAACACGGAGGCGTCCATGGCACCTGCTTCAGGTCACCCCCCTCCCCAAATACCTCACCATCACCTCTGCACTGAACACATTAGTGACGGAGCCAAACTTACACACAGGTTGTCCCGGAGCTCCCGTGTGTCACTCCTCGACTGGTCCCAACACTGACATTTCAACCTAAACGTTTCCTGACATAACTAAACTTGTAAGACCAAACATGTGGCGGGCAAACAGCAGCCAGTGTGCCTCCACCACCTAACAACATCCTCCTCGGTCAGCTTCATGTGTTGACAAACTACATAATGACACAGCGAGTTGTTAAGCCATTTCTACTACATGATACATGAACATCCTTCCTTATCTACAGGGCGGTGGGTGGGGAGGCCAAGGTTATGTCACTCAGCGGTGGTCAAATTAGCGCTTGTGAACCTGGCTGCCAATCTGGCCCGTCCGCCCCTCTACCTGCATACCACCATGAAGGACTTGACGTCATTCTCACTTGATCCCGTAATTTAGTTAAGAGATCAACGCACTGATACTTTTAGTTACATATACAGGGTATACTGTACCAGCCGACTGAGGAAGTGTACCAGCCGACTGAGGAAGTGTACCAGCCGACTGAGGAAGTGTACCAGCAGACTGAGGAAGTGTACCCGGCCTGAGACACATGTAGTTAATGTGACATATGGTGAGCTGCAGCACATGTGGAGGCCAGCCATTACATTACGTTCATCCCTGGGTGATGACAACACTCCACTGGCACTCGTGTTTACCGCCGCCTACATCATGACACACAACGAGGGTCCTAACTCCTCCCCATATATGTACACAACTCGGGGACAACCATAGTTCCTATTTAAGGTTGATTAACGGACCGTCAGGCCATGACTACGTTGATTTATACAGGAGAATGACGCTACGGTACCAGCTGACTACACAGCCCGAGACATCAAGGGCCAACAGTGACTTATTTTCTTTGTTGACATCGAGAACCTTAAAATATTTTATACCTCGATGACAAGCTGTGTAGCAGCTCTGTCGCTCAACACTGAACATACACACACACACAAACACACTCTCCCTCTCCTCATACACACACTCTCCTTCCCCTCACACACACACTCTCCCTCTCCTCACACACACTCTCCTTCCCCTCACACACACACTCTCCTTCCCCTCACACACACACTCTCCTCCTACACCCGGTATCACAGTTCTCCATAAGGTAACTTCTTTGAATCTGTTTACAATCTTCCCCGAGAGATAATTTCAAACCTTACAAGTTAAATATATTTACATATGTGTGTGAAACTAACTTACATGTGACTGTGAAACTAACTGGTAACTGGTAAACATGTTAACACAATAATTGGCAATTGGCGAACAAAATTTACCTTAACTAACCTAACACACAAGAGCACATAAAAAGCCAGAACAAATAATAATAATAATAATAATAATAATAATAATAATAATAATAATAATAATAATAATAATAGCCTGGGTAATTTTTTTTAAGTTGAACATCTGTTTTTACTATCTACCTCTCAACACCTGTCCTGTATTCCTCTACCTCTCAACACCTGTCCTGTATTCTTCTACCTCTCAACACCTGTCCTGTATTCCTCTACCTCTCAACACCTGTCCTGTATTCTTCTACCTCTCAACACCTGTCCTGTATTCTTCTACCTCTCAACACCTGTCCTGCCTTCTACTACCTCTGACCACCTGTCTTAATTGTCGCTTTTTCTACTTCTGACCAAACAAAACGCACCTGTAAATAACCCAACACCTAATTTCACTATCTTTCCTTCCTTCCAAACAACCAGCAGAAGGCAGGACATACAGACACTACGAGAGAGAGAGAGAGAGAGAGAGAGAGAGAGAGATGCGACCTTAAAAGAAAAACACCAACCAGCAGTCACACACTATGTAATTTTACCAACTCGGTTAAATATTACAAGAGACTCTACAGCACTTGTATATGATATGAACTTATGAGGCTACAAGTGTTCCCGAGTTTGTGTACAAGTTCCCGGGCCGTGACGAGGCTACAAGGGAGTGATCTCAGCCCCGCCCACACCCCTGCCTCACAGTTGGTCGGCAATAAAAGAGTTTTATTTCTCCCGTTGCTCAAACATCCACCAAGACCTGCACTTGGCACCCAACACCTACCCCGTGACTCGTGGAACTGATGAGAGTGATGATCCTTCAGGAGTGTGTGAAGTCCTACAGGAGTCTGGGTACTACGGCAGTGTGACGTCCTGCATGAGTGTGTGAGGTCCTACAATAGTGTGTGGGGTCCTACAGGGGCAATGTGACATCCTTCATGAGTGTGTGAAGTTCTACAGGATTATGTGGGGTCCTACAAGAGTGTGTGAAGTTCTACAGGATTATGTGGGGTCCTACAAGAGTGTGTGAGGTCCTACAATAGTGTGTGGGGTCCTACAGGGGCAATGTGACATCCTTCATGAGTGTGTGAAGTTCTACAGGATTATGTGAAGTCCTACAAGAGTGTGTGATGTCCTACAGGATTAGGTGAGGTCCTACAAGAGTGTGTGAGGTCCTACAGGCTTATGTGAGGTCCTACAAGAGTGTGTGAGGTCCTACAGGATTATGTGAGGTCCTAAAAGAGTGTGTGAGGTCCTACAGGCTTATGTGAGGTTCTACAAGAGTGTGTGAGGTCCTACAGGCTTATGTGAGGTCCCAAAAGAGTGTGTGAGGTCCTACAGGCTCATGTGAGGTTCTACAGGAGTGTGTGAGGTCCTACAGGAGTGTGTGAGATCCTACGGGAGTGTGAAAGATCCTTCCCTTACTGAGTCTCCTCCAGGTGATAGTAAGGTCATTTTTGTAATACTTATGAACTACTATGATGGCAAATAATACTACCTGTATATAGTGGCGGCAGATACACCAAGAGGTATGTCAGTTCCCACTACATCATCGACCGGTTTATATTATATGTTTACTTATGTATCTAAATCTTCTTGAAGCATCAGACGTGTTTTTGGGTGTTTAACGGGAAAACATTTAACTCTTTACGCTAATAGTTTAGTTCCATAAATAAACCAAAGAGGTGTCATAAAACATGTTAACACGGCTGCACCAGAACACCTCCAGCCAATAAGGAGTCAACCAGTGATAAGATGGGTGGAGCTTAAACACCCTTGGTGACCTGAGGGGACTGTAAGTGTATAGTTGTCTCCCTTCTGCGTCTTCTTCAGGTAACAGAAGGATCCTCCTCTGGTTACATACGAGCTGGTCTGACTATTACTACTATTGCACCTCATTATACGGTAAAGAGGACCTTACGACCTGTACTGTAGGGGAAGGCTGAGGTTGAGGACGGTGACCACCAGAGGATCCTACAGAGGGTCCTTGACGTAAGAAGTAAAAATAATAATGTGTTGGGGAGTGGGAGGTGAGACCAAGCCTCGACACCTGTTTCTTCCTGGCCCACAAAAGGCCAAGTCTATTATTATAGTTGGGAGCCTCGCGCACTTAGTCACGTTTTTGTTGGATACAGCGACTGAGGCACGAGAAAGATGGGGCCCCCGCCAGAGCTCATCCAGGGTACCTACAGGACCATACACTCATACCCTAGGGTATTCTTAACAGGCTTTGTGACTCATCCTGCATACACATAATATATCCTCCTGCCATGTGGATAATCTTGGACACAGCCGTAATATATCATGTGGTTGTGTGGGTAATCATGCGCCCACGCCAGGAGGGCGGGGCATAGAAGCAAAAAAATTAAATGAATGTAGCTCGACAGATCTCCTAAAAGTGGCCACAGCTCAAGTATGGAGATCAAACACTTCAACACATGGCTGCCGGTCTTCTCTATCAGTGGTGTTATCTAAGCGTTTCAGCAGTTTAGATCTTAAGTACAATTCATTAAGTCTCATCATTTTCGAGTATAATGAGTAATTTAGCTAATCAACCACTACAATGAAGAAGGAACATCTTTCATTATTTCTAATAGTTGACGTTTGGTTGGAAAGAAAGACCAACAGTGCTTTCAACATGATGGTAGGTGAAGCACATCAAGAGACCAAACAGGATAACACAAGTTCCACAAAAACTAGTTCCCGGCAGCCAGTTAGTCTACAGCTGGTTCACGAGAAAATACGTTATAGTCTTTACTAAGATGAGAACTGTAATTATTGTTGTTTTCGAGTATAACCTGAGTGCTTCAACTACCAGGGTGATTATGAACCATTCTCTGTTTTAGTTTTTAACAACAGATATCTATTAAATGTTGATAATAAGTAGTTATGCTTTGTTAAGACGCAGAGCCAATTAGATTTGTTTACCTAAGCAGCTGTGGCGCGTGTTGGCCGTGTATAGTCTGGCGGCCCCCAGCCTCGCCCCTCACTGCCCTGTGTAGTCTCGCCACCCACCCTCACGTGGAATGTCTTACAATATAGTATTTTAAGAGAGAATTCCCAGTAAGACTCATATTACAACAAGAGGCTGAATAACGTTACCTACCATGATCCAGCACCGTAACCCCCAGTACAACACCAGGTGAGGCCGAGGGTCTACCAGGTCATGTCCGGCCGCCAAAGTCCCGGAACATTAGACCGAACAGATCACATTATTCCGAGAAAACGTTAGTTATAAGTCTACGCTAAACTATGTGAGGCAAGACCGTTCATGGCCAAATTCTCTTCACCCGAGACGTCTCGCTTAGTCTGTTGTCCCCACGAAACAAAGGAAATTATAATTTTTGGGTGAAGTTTCCTTGTTAATACTTTAACTACCAGGATAATATAGCATCTCCGATATATTTATTCATTTAACAATATAACTACACAAAATTATCTAAGCTATATAACTCGACCCCTGCCTTCTGTTCTCTATAAATAAAATTTAACGCAAATTATACTGTTATCATAAGATAACGTTTATCAATTTAACCTAAAGATAATAAACATAACATCAAGAAAGACTGACGCCCCCACCCCCACCCCCCCCCTTCCCCCGCCCCAACCACCAGACACCTTCAAGAACTAGAGAAAACGGAACAGCCAGAGAAAATCGCATTAAGGGGAAGCTCAAGCATTCACGCCAGATGGTAACCACGACACAAACTACGTAAATCTGACTCGGGAATCCTACTTGAGTGTGAGAGGGCGGTAGCAGGGTGTAAATATGCCGTAAATAAGAGGAGATAACGGCCGTACTAAGTAGGGTACACACAGCTTAATACTAAATGAGGTCAGATAGAAGAGCTTGAGGAGGAGGTACATAATGTTTGAGTGGGTGTGAAGAGGTAAAGAGGGTGTGGAGGTAGAGAGAGGGTGTGAGGAGGTAAAGAGGGTGTGGAGGTAGAGAGAGGGTGTGTGGAGGTAGAGAGAGGGTGTGTGGAGGTAGAGAGGTGGGGGGTGTGGAGGTGTGTGTGGAGAGGGGTGTGTGTGGAGGTAGAGAGAGAGGGTGTGTGGAGGTAGAGAGGGTGTGAGGTAGCAGTAACAGCAGGAGTACTCACGGCACAATCTGTGTGGGGCCCTGGACCCGCTGGACGCCCTGCTGGA